CGACTATATTGTTATCGACCGGGAAACAATAAAAGCAATTAAATTATTACGTTATATTTATAATTCAATAGGAAATATAAATAACAGTGTAATGTAACAAATATTGCATGTTATTTATGTCCTGATTAGCGTTGAAAACTGAAACGTGTTTGAGCCGACTAAAAAAAGAAAGAAGTTAGAAAGAAAGAAAAGTTTTTATTATAGGTAATACAGATTAAACCAAGAAACAATAACGAACATAATAAAATTGCACATAACTATGAAATTAAATTAGACTTAAGTTATTAATTATAATAATACAGATGTATTCTTTTAACAAGATGCTTTCTGCTTTCGGTTTAATCGTAATATCACATGGTATTATCTTGAAAATTGTATTGCTTGTAACGTTTTGTATAAGTAATCTAATTAAAGTAGTCAAAATCTCTTTCGTCTAGGTATAAAAGAAAGATTGCTTTTATCTCTATCTCTTATTAAAATAAAATAAATATTTTTCGGAACCTCCGCTCGAATTAGACCAAAATAATTTGTATAAACAGACCATTTACACTGAAACCGTTATACTAACTATCATTAAATATTTGTTTTCATTTTCAAATGTTATTAAAAAAACGAGTACGAGTATAAATTTTCACATAAATTGTTTATAAGATTTAAACGGATATCAACCAAAGGAAACAACATCGCAGAATAATAAAATACAAATATTACGTAACAAAGAATTCATTTTACGCTAAGCCCATAAATAACACATCAGATTATTGCACTCACAACTGATTCAGAAAAAGTTCAATAAGGAACATAATTATTATAATCGAGGAGCAGAAATGCAGAGTCCAAGCCCACTAATGTGTTACAATGAATACAAAACACGTTACCGTCAAAGCACAAGCAGATTTCTTTATTCGTGTTAAATGAAATGAACCTATATTGAAAACAATCGACAGGGTAGCGCACGACACCGACTCGACTTTCACAATAGTGATGCACACGATCTTTAACGAACGTCGATACACTTATCGATAATTCGTTTGTTAGTCTAACACAAAATATTTGTAACAAATATTTCCGAATACCAAAAACTGATTCAAACTTAACATTCTTTAACAATAAAAACAGCTTTTCTAGCTATTTATTTGTATGTATAAATTTTAAATTTTATTAGTAAACTGTATATAATCCAGTTAAATAGTGACAGTTACATGGAGACGTATCTTTCACCACAACTAATTTTAATTCTACAAGTGTAAATTTAAGCTACGATATAGAAAAAGACTCTAAAGTAAAAGATTATCTGATTTCAACGCTTGCGTAAAAACCAAAAAAGAAAAGCATTGCATCTCTTACATATTTATCGAGGGAAAACTTTCGTACATCACTATGGACTTCTTTTAAACGCACGATTTTCATGTATATTGCCACGTGTTCGTAGCGCATACACGACTCAAGTCTACTCACTGAATTTTTGATTAGTAAATAAAATTATTCTTTGTTTTCACCCTTTCTATTACTAATCGCTTGGACGCACGCTTTTCAACGCGTGCCCCGGCGACTCAACTGAATTTAAATCGCTTTAAATTTTCGATATCCATACTACTTAACGATAGATTGATAATATCGATATTCTAACTGTCGATAGTCGGAACTGTTAGAAATCAAAGGTTTACTTTCGGCATCCCTTTTACCTTTGTTGATATAGGACCGTTTATAAAACGGAAGGATAAAGTCGATAAAAATCAAAATAACAGTGTTTCATGGGTCATAGAACTTCATAAGTTATAGTAAACTTAAATATTATAGAAAAATATTTTTGATGATAAAGTACTATGGCTATAAAAAATCTATTCTGTAGTGCTTCCTTTATTAAATGATTACAGATTGTCTTCTAACTAGATATGATGAAATAAATTTATCAAAAATGAAATGTACAATATAAAATAAATCGCAAAATGTGTTGGTAAACGCATAACTCAACAACGCCTGGTCCAATTTGGACAATTCTTTTTTTTTAAGTTCAAAGATTACGGCGAGAAAAATTCGAATAATTGCTGGAAACTAATTAATTTTTATTTTCATTTCATGCGGACGGAGACGCGGGTGGCAGCTAGGTTCAAATCAAAATAGGTTATCTGTAAAAGACAAATAATATGCAAAAATAGTACAATAGCGCAGCATGACGTTGAAACCGGATAACAATCAAATTTTATACGTTACGTGATATATTATAGATGGTAGGAATAGAAATCATAATATAAATACTAGTATCAAAGACAATAAGAGAGAAAAGATTTCAGCCCTGACGAAAAAACAACGTAAAAACGGATACGGACGGATACGGATACGGATAGCGGACTTAATTTTTTTTTTTTAGTATTTAAAACTTTATTCATTATAACTAATTACGAAGTACTTATAACGATTATTAAAAAGTATAATTTTCATTTAAACTCAGGTTTTTATTTAATTTCATATTTTAAGTTTTAATATTACAACTTAAATTCAGATTAAACTTTCTTTAGCTTTAGCTAAAACTTTTTAAAATCTATATCTCGATAGTATTAAGAATTTGTTTTCCCTCGCAATAATAAAGTTACATTTAATATTTTGCTGAATTAAATAAAAAAAAATATCCAGTGCTTATTATAAGGATCAAATAATTTTTAAAGACTCATTCATAATGTCATACCGTAAACATAAATGGCAATCTTACGTCATCCAAACAATAGGGATCGTGAGAAAAGCAGGTGAATTGGGTGCGGAGTGTAGACTATCTAATCTCGAACACAATAAGCTGACATTTTCACTTTAAAAGGTAACAGTTGGGTCTCGTTGCGAACTATGTCGCAGTTGCTCTACGCAGGTGAAACCTAGAGACTGTTAAAATTAAATTAAATTAAAAAAACACACAGCTCTGATTTTAGTTCAGTTAATTAAGAGAAAACTATGAAGGATAGTACTTTTTAGTAACACTGAATGTAGAGACGCCCTTTTTTTCAGAGGGGAATGCTTTATGCATACTCCGCGCCTGGGGGGGACGCGGTAGTTATGTGGGATTCTCTTCCGGATGGGAAGCATACCCACTTAACCCCTCTGTTCCTCCTACGCATCATGGCGAGGCCACGGGCACGCTTGCGCTTTTGTCCGCGACCTCGCCTGCATGTAGAGACGCCCTGGAATATGGATAAAAATCTATAATAGCTTTCTGTTATTGCATATAATTATTTACCTGGTCATTTGCTACCTAAACCTATAGAGATTTTAAGATTAAATACCAATGAGTTTCTAATGTTTATGAAATCAAATTAAATACATACTATTACTATTAAGTATACTAGAATTCAAGTAACGCTAGTAAATAACTATGTAGGTACCTAAATAAATATTGAATATTTGCAAGAAAATTCCAACATTGCCATCTTGTGAAAAGAAATTCATTTAACCAACAGAACTGTCCATATGACAAACAAGGCATGGTTTGAAGTTCGCTTTAGTAAAGGAATAACTCAATAGATGGCGCTTTAATAGAAATTATAAAAAAGACTCTACAATCTTAATTTTATAAAACATTTATTAAATGAATTATTTTGTATTTTTTAAAGGGGTTTATAATAAAACAATTTCGGATACCTTAAAGCTTTTTACCTCTTTTTAAAATTACATTATTTCGCTATTTTATAATAAAATATTCTAGACACAAATCTGTACTTTCCTCCTGCACTGATTAACTTTTCACAAATAGAATCTTAAAACTCAATGAATAATTAGGTCAGAACATTTCGACATATCAGTTCCAGTGAAATCTAAAACAAATGAGATTGTATTACAAAACAGTTTCTCTATTTCATATGACATTAGAGACTGACAAAGTTATCTGACCCGGTCGGGGTAAGTCAGACTAAATATAGACTGCTTAATAGAGTCCATCGCGGTTACCAGAAAATATGTATCCATGAGCATATCAAAGTGGCATAATGAATGACAGCTACAGTACAAAAAGAACCTTGCGACATAGACTCTTGTTCTTGATCTTCCTTTTCTGCTTCCTATTCTTCTTCTTTTATCAGCTTTTGACTTTCTTCTTCTTTGATTTATCTGACTATCATAATTAAGTTTGACTTATGACCACCGGGTTAGAAATCCTTGTCAGTCCATAACAGTATTTTGATGACTGGGTTTTGACTACAGTGACATTGACATTGACAAATATTGTCATCCCAAACATCTCAATAATCTTATTAATGATGGATGTTTGTTAGAAGGTATCTCCATAAAAGTTCAACGGATCTTTATGAAATTTGGTACAGATATAGAACATAATTTGAATGGACACATAGGCTACTTACTAAGATTTTTTCATAATAAGTGGATGTGGTGGAAACAAAACAATGTGTCAATACAAATACCATGGTAGTTGACACCCATAGTCAATGTAACCAACCGTAATTGTGTTGGCAATTGTGCATGTACATTTTACAATCATCCGGGAAAATTGCTTTTACATTACGCCGTATGTCTACTGCACAGATCACATCGCTAGCTTCTCTACAAGTCCTTGCTCTCCAGCACCAATATTTTTCTACGAACGGATGCCGAGTATACTGGATTAAAGAAACCGTACAATTAGTAATGATGTGATAGACTGATTCACCAACCTCATTATCTTACTCTACCATACACTATAAACGAGAGTTTTGAACGCAGAAACTTCCTTTACAAATATATTCATCTCTCATCATTCTATTAACAAGATATCTGAGTTTTTATTTTTTTTAACACTATTATAACTAACATTTAATTAGTTACTTTTGCTGATCATAATTAGGGGAAGTAAGATATAGGAAGGAACCTGCCTGAAAATTTAATATCTGAAAGTTAAGATAAAAAAAAAAACAATTGTAAACGGAATAAAATCCTATGTTTATTTTCGACACAATTGTAATTTATACATGTTAAATTTTAAGTTATATCTTATAAAACATTTTTATGAAGATTTGCATTTAATGATTTAATCCTGTTTATTATCGTCATGTACTTCTTCATCATGCTCGTCGTTTTCATTATCATTGTTTTGTGAATCATTATCTTTAACATTCCCTTCAGAATCACCTCCATCATTCTCTACTTTAGCTTGAGATTTAGAAACTTTTTTATTTTTAACTTTTCTTTCGGATCCTCTCTTTACTTTACCTACATTTTCTTCTGAAACGCCATTTCCTTGATCTGCGTTAACTTTCGATACAGATTCTTGTTCTTGATCAGTACTTGCCGAATGTTCCTTTTCTTCTTTCAAGCTTTCTTCTTTTTTATCTGCTTTAGCTTTCTTCTTCTTTGTTTTATCATTTTTATTTTTGCTCACACTTGACTTCTTAGTTGTTGTTTCTGAGCTTTCTTGACTTTGACTTGACTCTTCGATTTCTTTTGTTTTCATTTTGTCCTGTTTGTTACCATCTTCTTTGGGAGATGGTAACGATGCACATTTCTCGAAAAGTGTCTTCTCAAAATCTGAAAATTTTTATTCTATTGTAGCTTATCGCTAGAGTTTCACTGCATTAACTCTTGTACTAAGTCATATTGCTATCCCTTTCATTGCCTTTGGTAGAATAGCGACAACAATATATATTAATACAAGTGCAACTGCAGTTACAATAATTACTGAATATATTATTTAATTTGTTATAATATATGGGTATAGACGATTAAAATATTTGACAGCTCACCAGTTCCTTTCAAGCAATTATATTCTTTTATATCACAGGAGTCGATGAACTTTCGCAATTTGCCTTTCGAATCAATACCACATTTTTCTACAGCGTTATGCACACAAACCTTAGCCTGATAACAAGCCTGGCAAAATAAAACGGGCATAAATAATTTAAACGTTTCATAGTGTTTAAATATATTTACTTAAAATAAATAATCGCCACATACACTTTAAAATAATTTTAGTCTTTTAAACATAACTTTACGACGAAATATAACTATACAAATAATATGAATAAATGTTTGTTTGTAAGTATCTCCAAAACGGCTCAACGTATCTTGATGAAATTTGGCACACTAGTAGAACATAGCCTGGAAGAGCACATAGACTACTTATTAAGATTTTTTTTAATGTCACGCAATTTTTTTAATGATTGCAATTCGATTACTCGTCGGAATCCTCTTAACGATTAAGTCTTGCGACGTAGGAGTTTGCATGGAATCATTAGTCAATCTAATTGCATTAAAATAGACTTAAATTAATTAAAACAGTTTAATTAATATTACCCTTCCAGCTGGTTCACTGTATATCGTTGTAACACAAATGCAAATTAAAACTTGAAAACCTGAAAATGCAATTAGGTTATTTCTTTCAAATAAATTTTTATTTATATATTAATTTATTTATACCTAGAAATACATTTATGTTGAACATTTTGAAATTTATGAGGAAAGTGTAAAAAAAAACACTTTAAAATTTATTGAACATAAATATAAAATGTTTAAATTTTCAATTGAATATTTATTACATTTTTATTTTTATTATTATACCAATTCCTATAAAATTTAATACTGATACTATTTATCTAGAACTATGTGATAACTATATTACCTAATATTTAGTCTATAAAATATGAACTTTATGTACTTGAGTACATATTTAAAAGTAAAGATAAAATTGTTCTAATGATTTTACTTTACATACTTTTTATATGTTTCACAATCATTATAAACACAGACAGCCAACTAAGAAAGAAAGTAAGAAATTTTTAATTGATTTTTAATAGAGATCAATATTAGACATTAATAACTCCGGTAAATTATTCAAACTTTCGTGAGACATTATAATAAACTGTAAGGAAGAAAACCCGAAAAAGAGCCAGTGTGTTGACTCAACTAGCCTTAAATTCGACGTTTATGTCCCCTCACTAATCATTCTGACACTTCAGTTTGTAATAAAAACGCGCCATTCGAGCCAAAGGATTTTAACCAATAATGTCTAAAAAAACTTATAAAAACGGCTCAAATACTCACGTATATTCGTCCGGTGGCGGTACCGACTAATTTCGAGCCCATCGGGAGCCCTTCATTAGGGTGAGTGGGACTGGTATTATTTGACGAACGCGTGCTCCTGACCGTTTTTATATATTATAACTTTAGATACTCTGGAGTTCAAATAGCAACCATTGCATCTTGAAAAATGAATAGAACCTTTATTTTAAAGTATATACTGACTGTCCACTTTTAAAACACCCGTAAATAACAACATTTTTATCACATTTGTGCCTGACAATTTCGATCGTTCTTTTATTATATGTTTCTTTGAAGTATTTTTAATTTGAAGCTGTATTTCAGAAAACATGTCTTGATGCATTCGTGTGTATTCACAATAAGAGACGTTTGTGTGGATTGAATCGTATCACAAGAGAAGTGAGAAGATTCTTAGATATCTGTGACCTTTTAGAATTTAATTGTGAATACAAAACAGGTAAGAATTAAAGATTAGAAAGTTAAAGTTCTTTAAGTGAGACTAATTTATTAAACATATTATCAAACTCAGATTCGTTAAGTGATCATTAATGTTCATCTATTTTAACAGTGGTAGAGCCCGCTTTAACATCTTCGCACGAATTGACCCGACTCGCCCGGTGAAATACCACGACCACACAGAAGACAGGCGTGAAGTGGAAGCTATTCCGCGTGCAGTCTGATGAGTGTGCGTCCCGGAGGCCTAATTTAATCCTCTTTCCCTTCCCACCCTTTTTTCTTATAAAGAAAGGGTGGGAAGTGAAAGTGAACTTTACGGATGAGAGGATGCACGTAAACGAATATATATTCTTTATGAGCATCCACTCCTCCGTCGATTAAAGGTAGGCATCGCATATGCAATTGCGTATGTCTATGGGCAACGGTCACTTCGCTATATCAGCGACTTCAGGTGGCCGCTCACTCGTTTGCCACCTTATGACATAAAAAAACGAAATCAGCACTAAAATATTACTTATGATATATATATTTTTTATTTATTTATTTATATAAACAAGGAACAATATACACATTACAATAAAAGTATCTATAAACCCATTGTGGGATTGTCCAGACACTTTGGTACTACGCTATGAAATAAAACAGTAGGTAAATTTAATATAGATCACTAGCTGTCGCCCGTGATTCTGTCCGCGGGGAATTAAAAAAAAAACTTAATTAGTAGCCTATGTGCATTCCAGACTATATTCTACATGTGTGCCAAATTTCATTAAAATCCGCTCCGGTTATACCTTCAAACAAACATCCATCTAAACATTGGCATTTATAATATTAGTACGAAGTAGATTATGGTTGAAATAACGGAATTATTTATTTAATTGAATGTTCTGACATGAATTAGAATTCATTCCTTCATACAAAGTTACTGGAACTACTAAAAGCAACTAAAACACACATTTACTTGCAGATTTTCGAGAAACAAATGAACATAAATGTAAACACGTGCCTCCGCTATAAGAATCTAACCATTGTCTCACCGTCAACAATGTATGTAGCTATCTATTTAGTGTTACTTCGTAGAAAGTCTGTATTTACTAGGAGTTCTAGGTAATAATAGACAAAGTTTATAAACACTTGAAGCACTATGATAGCTTGTTATATCATTTCTAATCAAGCTGTCAAACGGTTAAGACGATCTGAAAGCAAAAGATGAACTTGAAAATATTTGGTAAGCTTATATTAAGATTTCTAATTTATCTTACTAATATTATAAATGCTGATGTTTAGATGTATGGACGGATGTTTGTTAGAAGGTATTTCCAGCACGGCTAAATGGATCTCGCTGAAAGGTATAGATGTAGAACATAGCCTGGAAGAACACATTCTTCTTCTTCTTCCAATGCCTTTCCATTACTGGAGGTTGGCCGTTAGCTCTGTGAACCCTTTCCTGTCCTGTGCGAAGCGAAAAAGTTGTTCAACGCTGGCAATATTGGTCCATTCCCGGATGTTTCTTAGCCACGACTTTCTCCTCCTTCCAACTCGTCTTCTGCCTGCGATTTTGCCCATCATAATGAGTTGAAGAAGTTCATATTTTTCATAAGAACACATTGGTTACTAATTATGTTTGCTTTTTAATTCTGCGCCCGGAGTCGCGGGCGAAAGCTAGTAATGATTTAATAAATCTGTTAAATGTTATCTGTTAGAAAATTAAAACAAAAAAGAAAAGTTGATGTAACGTCGTATTAAAATAATATAATTTTCTCAATATACTTTGATATTTTCTAAAAGCTTTTACCTTATACAAAGTAAATTGAGTTAGAAAATAGACTACAATATAATATAAATAATTCATCCGAGAACAAATGACTTTCTCTTTAAGGTATTTAATAAAGTCAAATATCTTATTACTTGCAACTCCCACTCGCGAGCCTAAAGGCATATAAAAGATTACTCATTACGTATTTTATAAATGTAAAATTATTTAGTTACACTAACATAATAAAGTGTTCATCGTGAACGTGGGTAGCTCAAGAGTCAGGCACTTGACTTGCAATCTGCAGGTCCTGCGCTCGAATCCCGCTATGTACCAATGCGTCTTAGGATTTCCGATTTGCATATGTACATTTATTCGACGTTCTTACGGTGAAGGAAAACATCGTGATGCAACCTGCACATATCTGAGAAGAAATTCAAAAGATATGTGTAAAGTCAATCAATCCACACTTGGCCAGCGTGGTTGACTATGGTCTAGTTACCACTAACTTAGGGTAGGCTCCGAGCCCCTCGGTGGGGACGTATAGTGCTGATGATGATGAATAAAGTAGAAAGATTTGTACTTAAGTATATAAGAGGTTAACTCAAAAACTACTTTTTTTGTTTTGGTTTTAAGTAGTTTAAGTGGTGTCTCCTATTTTGCAAGCTGATATATTTTTCTAACCGCACTTATGTTTCTTTTGCAGTTGTATTATTCTTTTTCTGCATTATAACCAGTGCAATGGCTCACGGACCTCCTCCGGATCGTGACAATGAAGACATTGTTATGGGCCGCAAGGTAAAAAAAGTAATGTTCTTTTTATAAAATTTTACCTATCTTTGTTTACCTTAAAGAATTAGTTTGTGATTTCTAAAATAAAAATCACATACCTTTTCTTTTGGCAAAGTTTTTGCAATATTAAGTCATTTTGTTCACTTATTAAGTTTTTAGTATTGTGTTGTAGACATAAATAATAAATTTGTTACTTAATAAAAAAGTAATAATGTAAATTTTCCCTACGTTACACAGCGTCCTCAATTTCCATGTTATTAAACTTTAACCAGTTTCCCGACGATGTTCCTGTTTTCAATGCATTTACAATGTCACAATAAGAAACTTCTGTATGCTATAGAGTTTGGTATAATTTTGTTTTTGTAAAAGTAATCATTTGGTTTGCGAAAGGTACACTCTATCACTTAAATACGTGTCTTCAATTATGTGCACAAGACTTAGTGTAGAAGTAGGGTATCCTGTTTATTTTTGAAATTTGGATAAAAAACATATTATATCTTTTTCATGGAAAATGTGTTCCTACTGTTAGGAAGAAAATCCAACACTATGCCGGTGTATCGGCGCAACAATAGCCCTATTAAAATATTAACGTTTATATCCCCTCATTAATCAATCTGGCACTTAATTTGGTAACGAAAGCGCGCCATTCGCTTCAAAGTCTTCTAACAAATATTGTCTAAAAGTACATGTATTATTAAGCTTATTTAATCCTTATGTCTGTTAGATGGGAGCGAAATGGTGCAGCATGGCTAAAGTTTGCAACCATGATCGCGTGCCCGTCTGCGGAGTTAGCCACGCGGGCGACATCATGGGCTTCCGGGACCTTTGCGATATGTTTGACTTTAACTGCATTAGGCGACGAAGTAAGTATTTGCATATGATTAAGGGCGCTGTTTCTAGTATGTATGAAGTCAGCCGACCCGCACTGGGGCAGCGTGGTTGACTATGGTCACCACCAACTTAGGGTAGGCTCCGAGCCCCTCAGCGAGGAAGTATAGTAAGCTGATTATGACTATGTATATACGAATAATCGGAACTGATTTTTTCTTAATAATTTTCAGATTACAAACAGACGGCTTGTCCCGAAGATAAATCAATACTGAGTGTCTCTCGTCGGCCTACCAACAGTTACTATGATGACTAAAATAAATATTATATATTTTCAAATAATACAAGCGATTTCCTATTTAATGTATGGAAATAGTACTTTTATATTATTACATTAAAATAGTATAGTATAATTTAATAGCAATATTTAAACACAATAATTGTATATTCTAAATCACACCTTTTTTATTTAAATAAATTTAATCCTATAAAAGAAATTGTTTTATTTATCAGAATTTGAAGGAAATGTTTCATTAGAATTGTAGGCCAACATGTAGGAACTTGAAAATAAAAAATATAATATCATTAAGGAGTAAGTATTGGTACTTCTTTTATAAGGGAAGGGGGCAAACGAGCCGCGAGAACACCGAGGTGATCAACAATACCCATGGATATCTGCAACACTAGAGGAACTGCAGATGCGTCATTTTATAGACTCGCATTTTATGACCAATGATAACACAGCACAATTAGATAGAATAATTTTAATTCTAAACGCAACGAAACATTAACAAGATATATCTCTTACTTAAACTCTTCGCTTAACAGAAATAAACAATGCTATTATTCATAGGAGCCAAAACAACATTTTGAATTAAATCTGGAATCTCAGAGCCTACCCAAGTTACAGGTGGTCAACCACGCTTGTCCAGTGCCTGTTGCATCTAGATGTTTTCCTACACCGTAAGTAAGTCGGTTAAATGTACATATGAAATTTCCAAAAACTCATGGATCGTACCTACACGTTAAGACTTCTGTCCTGCCCGATCAAACGCTTAACAATTGCGTCGCTGACGTTCCATTTTTAAATTATACAAATTACCTAGCTCTCGACTCTGTCTGCGCAGAATTAAAAAAAAACTTAATTAGTAGCCTATGTGTTCTGCCAGACTATGTTCTATATGTATGCCAAATTTCGTCGAGATCCGTTTAGCCGTTCTGGAGATACCTTCAAACAAACAAACATCCATCCATCCTTCTAAACATATAGTACTAGAATTAAAAAAAACTATTGGTTGCAGCGTAATGTTATATAGCCTTCCCCTATAAATGGACTATCCAACAAAAAAGAATTTTTCAAATCGGACCAATAGTTCCTGAGAATGGCGCGTTTAAACAAACAAACTCTTCCGCTTTATAATAATAGTATAGATTAGTAAGAAGTAAGATTAATCAATTTAAACACGTTAACGTTTTTATTTCTCAAGACTTATACAAAAATATGTGTAATTCTGGAGTAATAAATAAAATATGTTTGTTTCTTGAATGATACATCAATATTCTTGACTAATATTGTAAACATCGTATCGTAACATCCGCTTATTGTTATATCGATAAACAGAGCTTTAATATTAATATGTTGTATGTAAACGCTTCAGACAAGACATTGTCGTAGAGTAGACTGGATTACAACTCATGTATTTACTTAAAATATATTTCTTCATAAATATTTTAATATCAGTAAAATCACATCTTGTTGGAGACAGAACTCATGTAGTAAGTACTTTTAAAAGATATCCCATTAAAAACCTTAACCTAATTAATGTACCTTTTTATATGTCTGTCAAATTATCAACTCAATCTTGCATTGATTTACAGAGTTATTTAGTTATGTGCTTTATTAAATGTTTTGCCCTAGCTATCTTAAAGCAAGAAATCGATTATAAAACGAACTTTTCCAAAATATTACTGTGTTCATCTCATGTACAGTTTTTTTTTCGTTTAAATGATAAACGACTCTGTCCGCGCGGAATTAAAAAAATGCCAAATTTCAGCGGGATTCTTTCAGATTTTCTTGAGATACCTTCAAACAAACATCCACCCATCTAAATATTCGCATTTATATTATTTTAGTAAGATTTAAACTTTATCTTTTTACTTATTTGATTCTCATTCCAGGCGGAATTGAAGAAACTTTGTGATCACGCATACACATGTTTCCATGACACGGTCATAATCTGCGGGAAATCTGTTAACGAAGCGAGAACTTTTATAGATCTTTGCGATATGTATGAATATTCCTGCGAAAATAATATGGGTAATACCTTATTGTGGATATAAGAAATTACTTAGGAGATATACATTTATTCTAAATGAATTTCTTTTCTTTCTTTTTCTTTTCTTTCTTTTTCTTTTCTTTATTTCTTTATATGCCAATGCCAATAATACACTATAAAATAATTGTATTATTTTCTACTACTTCGTATCCTAGTCTTTGATTTTACTTTCTAAAAAACAAAAATAGAACGAGTTTGTGACAAAGATATGCAATTATAAAATAATATTTAATTTTAATTGAATAATATAATTTAATTATTTAGTTTTCAGACACGTGAAAGAAGATGAAGACATTTGTCCAAATCAAAAGGAATTAGGACCAGGCGTTGGATAATTAATACTGCTATATAAAATTACATTTAATATAAACGCATATTTATGTTTATATAATTCGAAATAACATAAAAAATAGAGTAATCAAAATCTTTTAAATCACATTATCGGTCGACATGATGGTACGAGAGCGAAATCTGGAAGAAAATTAAAAAAAAAACATGAAGAGTGGTTATTAGTTAAACTTATTTAAAAGATATAGAACTAAAGTTCAACTTACTGTATCTCCAGTAGCAATTAACTTGAAGCATATGACAAACATCATCAAATTTCCCATAGCCAAAATTATCATCGTAACCACAAACCGGGGAATATGTTCTATGACACAGTAAAGCCACACCGCACCAAGGACTTATCTTTTTATTTGGATCATCTGGCGTTAATGTTTTAGAACTGAAGGAACGACGTGATATTACCTGAAAAGGCAATATCAGATATAAGGCATCCTATACATGATGAATGTACAAGTATTTTGATTTCGGCCAATACTGCACATAGATTTTCCGGAGATATAATTAAAAAACGAGGAATTTGAAAATGGAATAGGGAAATGATACATTAAAGAAAATAAAGTTAATTGAGTAGGTAATAAAGAAACAGTATCTAAAGAAAAAAGGTTTATTATCAAAATTATTTAAACTTAATATGCCGTTACTCAATTCATTTTGGTTCTTTTTCAATGATAGGAATAGGATCAGTGTCATTTTTAAGTTCATTTATAAGTATATTGCCGATTAACTTTCCGTATTTAGTGACATTTTTACCAAGTCTTAGTATTGGATGGTCGAGTTCATTGTCTATATTAACAGGTCTTTGTTGATGTACCTCCATTTTTTCTGGCAGTTTCGGCTGCTCAATATTGTTGCTCAAATTTTCAAGCAGCTGTCTACTCGTTTCTTCATTTATTTGTACTAATTTTACTAAATGTTCTAAAGCTTGTGTATGCTGAACCAATTTATCCTCAACAAACTCTTTAAATTGGTTAAAGCTTTTTTTCTTAGTTGTATCGGTAACTTCGCGTTTTTGAATTTTCTGGCAAAATAATCATAAAATCTTAGGAAGAAATAACACTTTTTAGGTATTTTACACTTTAATACATACGTTTGATGGTTCCACTGCGTACACTAAGACATCTTCTAATCTTTCGATTTGAAATGAATTTGCTACCAATGTAAGAAGAACTGCGGCTGAAATAAATAAATATTAGTAAGTTTAGCCTCGCAAGATATAAAAGAAAATATGGAGAACTGATCTCCAACCTTTCTTAATCGGTGAGGCAGCTCAAGAAGAAGAAATAGTAAGAGAATTTATAAATGCTTGAACAGTGTCTAGTAGCAAGAACGACCCTTACCAAGTGTTAATTGCCTCATAATGTCCGCACGCTAGTTAGATTGTTCTTCAATTAGATTAGTGTGTAAAGTATGTCCAACTTATAGCGGTCATAATGGTATAGCTTTACCAGTGTATTTGATACTTGCACATATTTTTATACATTTTTAAGTTGCCCCAAGTAATTCAAAAAACCTTTTGATCTTTTGTATTTGGAAGAAATCATACTATTCATATTAATATTATAAATGCGAATGTTTGGATCAATGAATGTTTGTTTGAAAATATCCTCAAAACAGCATCATGGATCTCGCTGAAAATTAAAATATATCTAGAACAAAATCTGAAAAAACACATAGGCTACTAATTAAGTTTTTTTTTTATAATTCCGCGCAGACGGTGTTGCGGGCGACAGCTAGTGTATGTAGTATATGTTACAGAGTGAATTTTGACTGAGGGTACTAAATAGATTTTTACCAAATTTACTTTTATTGAGATCAGATAATTAATTCTTTCTTAGATTTTCTTTGCCATACACATTTTAAGCTATGTTGAAGAGAAAACAAGATATAATAATGTTAATATTTCTGTACATATATTTCTGTGTTCCTGGTATACTTTATCAAATACACGACATCAATATATTGATATTACTAAGCTATTTAAAATTCAAGTATCAAGAAGGTGGAAACGTCGTATAAAAGGCCGATTGTGATTTATTAACTGCAATTGATTTAATTAGTGACATTGATACGCGTTTTTGTTAATAAATGCTCGATAAATCTTGTATTCGTCATGCCCTCTCAGGCACGGTGTCAAAAATGATATTACCCAATTAATTAACATTTTATGTCATATATATTATTTTTATATGATAAACGTGCATTTTAAAATCACTTCATGTTATACATATAGATATTTACATAAACATAGTAATTATTATATAACACGAGTTAACATTTTGTACTCGTAAATATCGCTGAAAGCTGATTTCATTTTATTTTAATACTAAAATAGCTGTCGCCCGCGACTCCGTCCGCGTAGAATTAAAGAAAAACATAATTATTAGCGTATGTGTTCTTCCAGGCTATGTTCTTTATCCATGTAAAATTTCAGCGAGATCTATGCAGCCGTTCTCGATATACTTCCAAACAAACATTCGCATTCATAATATTAGTAAGATAAAAAAATAGCTTGTTATTAAAATTCATTTATTGTAAAACTTCTCTCTCATTTGTTACCATCTCTTTCTCTTGTCAATTGGTTAACTCGTAAAATTTCCACATCCTCAATGTAATATCAGAACGCGTAAAATATTGATTGCAAATGGAATTTGTTTGCGCTTGCGTCATAAAAGTAGTTCGCGAACTTAACGATGCTGTAAAAGTGTTCCGTACCCTTGTTCCTTTACAACTACGTAACATTCTTTTGAAATAAATATGCAGTTTTATTTATAAGGATGTTTACAATATGTTTATTATTTTTAGTAAGTGATATATCTTTAATTAAAAACGTAAGCGTCGGTGACTTAGGGGTCAAGCACTTGACTTGCAATCTGCAGGTCCTGGGTTCGAATCCCGACTTGTAACAATGTGTTTTTCGATTTCCGAATTTACATATGTATATTTATCAAACCTGCACTAAGCCAACGTGGTTGACTATGGCCTAGTCACCATAACTTAAGGTAGGCTCCGAGCCTCTCGGTGGGGACGTATAGTGAGCTGATGATGATGAATTAAAAGCTTGAATACATTTCGAAAGATACAATGTTATGTCACCAAGCGATCTTGAATGTTTTGCTTCTTTGTAATTTTATTTATCTTCTTTATTTTAGTTCTCCTATTATATACCAATACAGTAAAAGGTCACAGCGAATCAATTAAGGTAAGATATTTAACAATTACTCCAGAAGTTAATCTTGTTTTGTGTGATTTATCATATTTCTTGTTATATTTATTAAAACTACTGACTGTCATCCACTCGGTCCGCGTGGTAAAAAAAAACTTAATTAGTAGCCTGTTTTCTACATCCATGCCAAATTCCAGCAAGATCTGGAGATACCTTCTAACTTTTATACAGTATTATTTAGAATCCTTTGGCGCGAATGGCTCGCTTTCGTTACAAAGTGAAGTGTCGAAATTATTAGTGAGGGGACATAAACGTCGACATTTTGGTATGGTTAGTGTTGCGCCAGTACACCGGCACAGTGTCGGATTTTCTTCCTAACATAATAGATATCCATCTATTCATTTAAACTGTCACACTTATAATGTAAGTAATATTTAGCGATATTTTGTTTGGTAGAACGAAGAGGAGTGTAAAATAGCAGATCTGTGTGTACACGACAAGGTTCCGATGTGTGGCATTGATTCGTGTGGCGAAATGAGGACATTCATCGACACATGTGACATGCATGAATTTAATTGTGACAGTAAAAAAGGTATAATATGTCTCTCTTTATATCTCTACTAGCTGTCGCCCCCGACTATGTCCGCACGGCATTAAAAAACTATAGTAACCTATGAGTTCTTCCACACTATGTTCTATATGTATGCCAAATTTCATCAAAATCCGTTCAGATACCTTCAAACAAACATTCATCCAAACATTCGCATTTATAATATTAGTAAAATGTACCGAATGCTTTGCTTGATCTTAATTCAAAACATCTGTTGGTTGTAACTTACTTCTAGGAAGTTTGTCTTAATGTGACCTCATTAATGCTACTAAAGATTAGTAAAAAAGTTTCAAATAGCTTGCCTGAATTTGTATTAAGAAGACAAAGTTAATAGAAAAGGAAATACTAGAATAGAAAACAAGAAAGGGCTGAAAACCTAATGTAGTAATCTTCTTTTATTATTTAATTGCTACAGTTTTGGTTCATTCCAGATTTCAAACAACGTCCTATCCACGAATGTTGGGTAACCTGCAAAAGAGGTCGCTCCTTCAAGAAACCGGAATATCGAACTGACTGCAATCTTAACGCTAAAGCAAATAGACTTTAATAAAATAATTCATAATTTGTTTATTAAATATTTAAATGCACATTTAAAAATCTGTCAATTATTTCTATTCCAGTATATATTTAATGTTAAACACAACATTTTCAAAAACAACGCCTGTTTGATTTATTTTACAGTAGTATTAATCGTAATACTAAAAATTTGCTATTTTTAAATGACAGGCAACTGAAAGTAAAAACATTAAGCCATTTATTGCCCTTTTTAAAATACATGATTGCCTTTACTTGATACACAAAACCCACGAAAGTAACACTAAAGTTATTTAGATACTAAAGTACTTTTCACTTTATTGCTTGGACTTTATATTTTTCTAAATATGTATATGCATACTATTTCCAAGTATTAAAAACAAAGATATGCATTTGCCCTTATATTTAATAATTCAACGACTCTTTTTATCAAATAGTTGTCAACTTTACAGTTTCTCTAAAAACAATCAAATGTGAAATACGTTAAATAAATTCTTGATTTCTTTTTAGGCGAAGAAAATAAAATAAAACATAACAAATAAAATTACAACTAACTTCAAATGTAAAATATAAAATAAAATGTAGAATGTAATATAATTTGCAACATATAATTTAAAAACGATAGTGTAAAAACATGTAATAATATGATTTCTTACATTTTATTTGTAGAATTTATATTACTTTTACATCTCCGCCGTTGTTACAGTCATGTCGATAGTGCAAAGGTATTTAAATCTTACTTCTTACTAATATTATAAATACGAATGTTTAGATGGATGTTTGAAGGTATCTCCGGAACGACTCAACGGATCTCGCTGAAATTTAGCATAGCTGTAGAACATAGTCTGGAAAACACATAGACTACTTTTAAGGTGTTACTAGTAACTAGGTGCCGCCCCTGACTCTGTTCCGCCCGAACAGAGTCAGGGGCGGCACCTAGTTACTTTAATAAGTTAATACGTATCAAACTACGGATACTTTTGGTCCATTGATTAAAAGTCTGCGATATTCGATAATCAAATATTAACTTTAACATCAAATTCACGTTTATCCGTTTTTGTTCCACTCCTTAAATGGAGTATAAAGTTTTCGATTCACGATTATTTATATTTTCTTCATTTTAATAAATAACCTTTATACATTTTAATTATTTTGTTCTTTGAAAATTCTTAGTAATAACATTTTATATCTATTCTTACTTAGAAAGTCAGTGAACTGTTAAACTGTTTCCAGCGTAGGATGATATTGCGTTGGTGGGAAACTAGACGACGGTACTAAGAACAAGTTGTTCATAACAATTAAGCTTTAATAGGAAATTTTATACGAACCAAACATTGAAATATTACGAAGCCTTAAGCTATTATTTTTCTAATTAATATTGTACAGGGATTTAAATAAAAAACCCTTGTTTGCAAAAAAATGTGTTAATATTGTAGAACATGAATAACAGAAAGACATAGAAAACTGATTTGACGTTACTAAATTCAAATGTTTAATTTCTTCTTTTTTCTTTGATTTAATGGCAGCTATAGTGTAAAAACTCCTTGAACAAATATCATTGATCGTTATGATTATCTTTGTAAATAGATTCTTTAGAGAAAACTTTTTTTCAATACAACAATTGAGAAAATACTACTAAAAATATTTGTAATACATTTAAACAATTATTTGACTATATGCCAAATCTCACTAGTTTAGTAGTACAACTTTTATTACGACATTATTTGTTCCAATTTTCAACTGATGACCTGAACGTTGTGCCAAAAGTGGAATACCCAGTTATGAAAGGGGGTTAAGTGAGCTTACAGCACACTGAGCGCCTTTTGTCTACTCTACATCCACGTTTATTATTGCATTTTGAACTATAATAGAAACAATTTAGAAGATAATTACTGACTGACTCTAAAGAAGTATTATCAAACAATTGTTTAAAGAACAATCAAAAGATTCTGAGTACTATTTAGTATTTTAAAACATAGATACGAGTGGCTGCGATTTACTAGTCTTGTTTTATGTTTCTTTTCTCGGCAGTTAGAAGAGGAATGCAAGATCGCAGACATCTGTCGTCATGACCAAGTCCCAGTGTGCGGAATCGACGACTGCGGGGAGATAAGAACCTTCATTGACACATGCGACATGCATGAGTACAATTGTGATAGTAGAAAAGGTAAAGACAAACGTCTATTCCCTTTCCCACTCTTTTACAATAATAAAGTCCTTTATCTGTACATACCCCGTCTTTTAAAGGTTGGCAACGCATCTGCTAACTTTTTAGTTGCAAATGTCCATAGACATTGCTTTTTTACGGCTACTCATTTGCTATTACTAAAAAAAACCTGTAAACAATGTTGCCATAATGACGTAACTAATCCTGTGCACGTGCAAATTATTTCGTAGTTTAAAAGTATCCTCCCGCCCACTTTAAATTACTCATGCCGTTGAAAACACGTGTAACTTTTCGTGTAGGGTGACCATAAGAGATGTCTCTAAGAATATTGCTAATAAAAATATTCACAAAATAATTTCAATATCAACACACATAAATTATAAGATACACGTAATATTATTTAATCTATTTAAAAAGTGTTTAGTAGTAAATTTTAGAATAATCATCATCAGCTCACTATACGTCCCCACCGAGGGGCTCGGAGCCTACTCTAAGTTAAGGGTGATTAGGCCATAGTCATAACCACGCTGGCCCAGTGCGGGTTGGTTGACTTCACACATATCTTTGAATTACTTCTCAGATATGTGCAGGTTGCATCACGATGTTTTCCTTCACCGTAAGAACGTCGGATAAATGTACATATGTAAATCGGAAATCGAAAAACACATCGGTACATGGCGGGATTCGAACCCAGGACCTGCAGATTGCAAGTCAAGTTCTTGACCACTGAGCCACCGACGCACCGAAATTTTAGAATACAATAGGTTAACAAATAAATTTATGTTCAAAAATTTACTTATACGAATACACGGGTTTACTAATATATTGGGAGGAAGGAAAAATTCTCAGTAGCTACTTTACTTTTTGTAGCTTCTAATGACAGGATTTGATAACAAAGGTACTTGGTTACTCCTATCAAATTGATTAACACTTCTGGAAACTAAACACTCGCAAGTTCTTTGTGAATATTCTCGCAAACTAACAAGCCATATCCGATGCCCTTTTACCAGGAAAACCAACAATTCCAGACCTAAAGGTCAACCTGTAATATAAAACAAACCAAAGCAACCAACCAATTTATAAAGCTCACGTTTCAGTGGTTTTTCACCCTCGTATTTGCCGTCTTATTCAAATAAATAGGCTTCATTGAAACATTTTGATGTCTTTTGTCTTTCTAAGAATTGTCGTATTTTACTTGTAAACAATTTTCGTTTCTTTTTCTTCGAATGAAGCAAAATAAACGTCACAGATTTCGATTAACATATGTACATTTATCCGATGTTCTTACGACGAAGGAAAACATCATGATGCAACTTGCACATATCTGAGAAGAAATTCAAAGATATGTGTGAAGTCAACCAATCCACATTTGGCCAGTGTGGTTGGTCTAGTCACCGCTAACTTTGGGGTAATCTCCTTGCCTTTCAGTAGTCATTTAGTGGACTGATGATGATGATGATGATAATATTTTATATTGCGATGTGATTTTCTATTTGACTTTCAGACTTTATTCAAAAACCAGCTCACGAATGTTGGGTGACTTGTAAACGTGGTAGAAGTTTTAAGAAACCTCTCTACGGTGAAGATTGTAATCTAATTTGGTATAAAAACGAGGAAATTATCAAAACAATTTTATTGAAATAAATTAATTCGATAATAACGAAACAATAACTTAACACGTACTTATTGCTTCGAGATCACAGTACGTATAAATATTTAACAATTGTAATTTTAACTATTAATTATTTAAGTTATAAATTATTAAAATTATTACTAATAATATGGCCATATACAATAAAAATTACAATATAAATTATAATAAAAATTATAAAATTATTTTAATTAATTTAAAAACCAACCACCAATGATATTACTTTAAATACATAAGTTATAATTAAGTATGACTTAGATTCACTATTGGATTATTGATTATTATAATTACAAAGGTATATAAGGTGACGTTATTTATTTGCTATTTAATATTTACAGGTGCATAATAATATTAATCTGAGGTTAATATTCTTAAAGCTAATATGAGATTCAAGTTATGACTATACTAAATATTATTTACATCATAAAAATATTAAACGTTTATAATAAGAGGTTCAGCACTCTATTGATTTACTATAAATATTTTAAAAATTACATTTTCTAACAATAAGAAACGTATTTTAAAAATTAATATTAACTTTCTTAAGACTACAGCTAATATTTAACAATAAAAAAATAAACATAGGTACGAAATTTTTAAATTACTTTACCATACTCTACCTCATTCATACAAATAACATAAAATTAAATATTAAATTAAAACATACCCAAAATTGTCTGTCGTTATTCCGTTTAACTGTAGAACTCATGTGGTTTAGACAAAGTGCATTCGTTTCTAACCGACTCCATAGCGAACTTCAAAAATGTCTGAAATTGTCGCGCGACAATAACATGACTTATCTGTTAGTTATCTATACATATTTGAAGTACGCTATTGAATCGCTTCGAAACGAATGCATCTTGTCTAACCCAGCTGCAGTGACATATATAGCTTTCTCTTTCATTTTCTTTGATAAAATAGAGACAACAATACTTTCAATGTCACTGTCGATAGTCCTCTACATTTTAGTGATTGTCTAAAAATCCAGCACTTTTAACTATCTTATAAATATTTTCCCGCGGTATCTTCTCCGCTTCTCTTTCTACAACTTGCATCTCTTTGTTGGTGAACCAGGACTCTTTAGCGAGACCTGCAGCGATAGCTGGGTTGTCATAGAACCTATTAGACTTCAGAAGGTCAGGAGGTAGAAGCGCTTCACTAGCCGCGTTCAGTTCAACTGCTGGATGAGAGTGGACAACTGGAGCTGCCGGATGAGCGTATTGGATGCCCAATGGTTGTAATGGTTCAGCGAAGAGCAGACCAGGTCTGGCTTCTGTCATTACCACGATGGTAACAATGATGAGTATGCAACGCATTGTAACTGGAATTTATAATAACTTAGGATTAATTGTGTGATAGGAAAACATGTACGATGATTTTTATTTGTTTCTGGTTAAATTCAGAATAAAAAGAATTTAATAAAAATAATTTTGTACCGACATAAATTTGTTAAACTAAACATTGAACATTTTTATTTAGTTAGGCTATTTTTTTGTTGGCTATATTTGTCAACAGCAAAATTATACGATATAATGATGAATATACAAACTGAGCTGGTTCCTATTTTACAATTACTCTTATAAGAATAAAGTCTTCAACAAGAGTCCAATGGATAGCATTTTTCACGCTTATACAAGTTTCTCGCTAATCCAATCAGCGCTTATCGACTTTATTGTTTACTAGCTGTCGCCCGCGACTCCGTCCGCGCGGAATGAAAAAAAAACTATTGGTCGCAGCGTAATGTCACATAGCCTAAAACCTTGCTTTATAAATGGACTATCCAACAAAAAAATAATTTTTCAATTCGGACCAGTAGTTTTTGAGATTAGCGGGTTTAAACAAACAAACTCTTCCGCTTTATAACATATGTATAGATAAAAAATATATATACAAATAAGTAATATTTTATTTGCGTACAATGTTGCAACATTCCCTATCTTACAGTAAATACGACAAGAATAAAAAGAACGCATTCAGCCTTGTTCAGTGCGTACGTGACCTTAATACAAAGAGACGTGAGACACTACACCTACTCCTTGCTCTAGTTGCATATAAGACTTAAGCTTAAAGTCACTTGACTTGTAAGCCAGGATTTTAAGTCAAGTATCCTGACTTAACTACAGTTTACAAATACAGTATTCCTGCGAGGTGTTGCTTTTACACAACCTCTTAGAGTCGTTAAGTGAAGGGTACTTAGTGTAGATTAATTGTAGATCGTAATTATACTAAGAGGCTGCTATTTGCGACTTTTGTTGATAGCGTTTACGACAAACACTGTTATATACATATTACATTTGATGAAATTTTTAATGAATCATTTTTACAACGAACACACACAATAAAGACTTTAAAATGTCAAGAATATTTTTTATAAATTAAACCGGTAAGTTAAAATTATAATTCATTTGGATTTTTTATCATGCAATTTGTAAATAAAAAAAATGTTTTACGAATTTTCTTAACTTCCGCTAAACTAATAAATATTATTTCTCCGATATCACGCATAACACTAAGTCTACTCACATTTAGTCACAAAAGTCACGGTCACTATCACACAGCTGCGCAACGATTACTGCGCGCGCGCAATACAGCCTCCGATATAAATAGCATTTTGCTCTAACCTTCTGAACGCTTCCGGGATCAATTGGACCACAGACAATTTATGCTTAAATATGTAGTTTTAAGGAAGTTAATTAGTAATAAATAAGGAAGCTAAAATATTTGCAAAATCTGTTAACTGTTGCAAGTTTAACATGTTTTTAATCTTACTAATATTATAAATGCGTATGTTTAGATGGATGTTTGTTTAATGGTATCTCCAGAACCGCTGTATAGATCTCGCCGAAATTTGGCATATATGTAGAGCATAGCCTGGAGGAACACATAAGCTACTAGTTAAGCTCTTTCTTATACCGCGCGGATGGACTCGCGGGCGACAACTAGTGGTCAAAAAATTAGACCATAGAGTTTTTATAAAAGCTCCAACCGAGTATTAAAACTTTAATGTTAGCCGATCAACCAATATAACATAAGTTTTATGGAGATTCATAAAATTTATGTAGCAATTACTAAGCCTTTAAATGTTTCCTTCAAAAAACATTTCTATCAAAATTAAAAAAAAAAAGTGAACGTGTTTTTTAATGAAACGAGTCACAACCGTTAAAGTATTTCATTAAAAAATATTTTAACATTCTGAATAGCAGAATTTCCTCAACAAAGCATTGTAAAATTCTGAATACGGTCTAATAACGCAAAGCGCTTTTGTTCTCTACACAAGCAAACTGTTTGGAACTGAATTAGTTGTTGCTGGGGAAAATAACAGTTTAATTTGAACACTAGCACTCACAGTTTTGGAATTATTTAAGCAGCTCTTTAAGTTAGATGTTTCATACTAACTCTACATTAAGAGTATGTTATAGTCATCACTAGACAACGCTAAAGTTATTATTATATTACAGTTATAACTTCTCTACTAATATTAGAAAACGGAACAGTTTGTTTAAATGCGCTAATCTCAGGAACTACTGGTCCGATTTGAAATATTATTTTTTGTTGGATAGTCCATTTATAGAGGAAGGCTTAAGGATATAACATTATGGTACGACCAATAGTTTTTTTTTATTCCCTCGGTTCTCGAAGAATCTCGGATAAATTTACATATGTAAATCGGAAATCGAAAAACACATTTGTACATGGCGGGATTTGAACTCAGGATCTGCAGATTGCAAGCCAAGTACTTGACCCCTGAGCCACCGACGCAGACTCTTATCATTCTTACTTAAACGTTTGCTTAGTAGAGTTTTTTTACTAAATTTACCCTTAGGTACCCCCTCACTAAGTGCGACTATTAGTTGCTTTATATTAATTTATTACTAAAATGTATTTCCTCTTTCTGTTTAAAAGTATGTAAATTTAATTAAAATTTCATTGAATTTAATGTTTCGTGAATAGATTACAATACATGTTAGTACAAGTATCTCCTGTAGGCGTATTAGTTAAAATAATTAATGAATGAATTGACCTTGTAACTATTAATAAATGCTATATTGTTAAAAGTGAAATAACATAGATCGTTGTGGATCGCCTTGCTGTCATTTCCTAAGGCGTTTGATATACTTCCGTAGCTTTGATGTATAGCTTCCGAGGCTATTGCCTTTAATGATTGTAAGAAAATTATATCTCGGAATAAATTTAAGCTTTATATTCCTAACTGGTGTACTCGTTATTACGTGTAAGCCAATTCGTTTTTCATCTTAGCTAATGTACGTAAAGGCATCAGATGAAATTAATTTTAATTCCTTCGCCGTATACTTTCTTTTTTTTTACGCAAAATTATTTTTTCTTTACATTTTCAAATAGATTATTCTTTAAATTTTATTGTTATTTCTCATTAATATTTCATAACTTAATCGATTATTACAACGATTTTAAGAAATAACTTGTAAATTGAGAAAGTCAATTGACATGAATATTTAATTTACGTTAGGCGCCATCTTAACGGCTCGCCGCCATGTTTGGTATTTATAACACTTTTAATTAAAATATGAAATTGTTACAACACATAAGTCTAGACATTTAGCCCTTAAGGTTTTATTTTTAGTATGTTTAAAATATTTCACTTTCATAGTATTCAAAATCTTACTAATATTATAAATGCGAATTGGATGGATGGATGTTTGTTTAAACGTAACTCCAGAACTCCTGAACGGATATCGATGAATTTTGACATACATATAGAACATATTCTGGAACAACACATCGGTTACTAATTTTTTTTTTAATACTGCGTGGACGGAGTCGCGGGCGACAGCTAGGATTAATATAAATCCGGACTCAGATCTTCGCTACATCAAATATTACAATAATGTTGAACAAGTAAGTAAGTATACTTCTCAATCAATTTTAATATTTTAAAATATGATAAACAAGAACAATGTATCAGATTACACAACAAAAACAGATACTAAACGATGTTAATACAATGAAAGCAATCACTTGAAAGAAACACGCACTTAATGAATCCAGGACAAGGTCAGTGCCGCGTGATTAAATGCATATTATATCCGAGCTACCGATACAACGAGATAAACTTTCGTACGATCATGATTGCATTAGGATTTTATCGAAAATATTAAAGAAAAAATATTAACAAAGGTAAATTAACAGTGGTAGGAGCCAGCAACAATACCTACTGCGCAAATTCACCGTCTCTATCAGTGAAATACCACGACCACACAGAATACAGGCTTCAAGTGGAAGCAATTCCGTGTTTGTCCGATGACTGTGTGCAAATAACGCGCCAAATGGAAGACCGTAATCTGCCTACTTCTCTGATTTACGTACTTGAGTTGTTAATGTTTTCATTGCGAAGTAATTGAGATAGGTAATCCTTACTAATATTATAAATTCGAGAGTAACTCTGTCTGTCTGTCTGTCTTTCTTTCATACAAAAGTACTGGTCAGATTTAATTGAAATTTGGTACACAGTTAGTCTAGAGCCTAAAACGTTTCTTGTCTCTTCCCTTCTGTTCTTTTATGTTCCGTTCCGTTCTATTCTGTTGCAGTTACATGTTGTTGGTAACATGCACCAAAATTAAATTTTTTACAATTTATGTCAGTTTGTTCCCGTTAATCTCTGAAATGGATGGACCGATTTTGACGGGACTTTTATCGGCAGGTAGCTGATATAATGAGGAGTAACTTAGGCTACGTTTATTTTAGAAAAAATCGACGAAGTCGCAGGCACAGCTAATTTGAAATAAGTTACACAGTGAGTCATTATTCTCTTTGAAAAAGACACAGTTAAAAATATGTTTTTGTACATGTATTACATCAGTGGAAACGGTCGACAAACATGTTACTACTATTCACTTTATGTAGCACTCAGATAGTGTCCTAAAATCCATGCCTATGAATACATTTGTAGCATTTAAAACAAGCCCTAGTATTATGCTCTAAGTACATTTTCGCTATAAAATGTAAACTTGTGCCAATATTAAGTGCTCTGGTTCGTGTGAAAATCGCAGCTGCGCATTTTATAGGTTCGATAAAATGATTCTTGTATTATGACTACGTAATAAAGTATCTTTGTTTATTATGCTTAAAATATCACTTGTTTTAGGCTAATATCTATTTTCTTTTATTTATTTATATCGATGTATAATTACAGAGAGCGTCGGTGGCTCAGTGGTCAAGCACTTGACTTGCAATCTGCAGGTCCTGGGTTCGAATCCCGCCATGTACCGATGTGTTTTTCGATTTCCGATTTACATATGTACATTTATCCGACGTTCTTACGGTGAAGGAAAACATCGTGATGCAACCTGCACATATCTAAGAAGTAGTTCAAAGATATGTGTGAAGTCAACCAACCCGCACTTGGCCAGCGTGGTTGATTATGGCCTAATCACCCTTAACTTAGGGTAGGCTCCGAGCCCCTCGGTGGGGACGTATAGTGAGCAGACGATGATGATAATTACATTTAAAATCAATGTATATATTGGCTTGTAACACACCCTTGTATTGTGAATCGCAATAATTTATGCTGGACTTGAATTCTATACATGATTGTTTTTTTCGAAAAGCACAGTAATTTACATCCTATAGTTTCACTATAATTTTACTATTATTAACATTTCTAGACGTAATTAAAAATTATGCTTTTATAATCTTAACGAACGTTTCTTTCGGAATATATGCTAATATTTAGGTATAAATAAAAAGTTTCGAATCGGGGTTAAATAAGCAACTTGAGGGCATGCAGGCTGTTTCACTCCTACATTTCAGTCACGTACAATTGCGTTGCATTCTTTTTTAAATTCAAATGGCACAGATTATACTAACATGTTTAAACAACGTAAACATTACGTCAAGGTTTTCTTTCCAACGGGGTCTTTTTATTCCAATTGTAAAACATACGCAATATGTAAATCTTACTAATATTATAAATGCGAATGCTTAGATGGATGGATGTTTGTTTGAAGGTATCTCCAGAACGGTAGAACGGATCTCGATGAAATTCGGTAAAAGAATATAGTCTGGAAGAACACATAGACCACTAATTTTAGTTTTTAATTCTTCGCGGACGTAGTCTCGAGCGCCAGCTAGTATTTTAGAATTCTTCTTTAAATTAACCACGTACATTAATTAAAGATTAATGTAGTTGCGAGCTATAAAGTGTTATAAAATGAAGTGTAAAATAATTAACAAGACGATATATTACCACTTTCCAATAAGTAAAGGAAACCGTGTAAGTTCAGAAGTAAATTAGAAATACAAGAAAACAATTTGCAAAGGTTTTAATGTACTGATTTTCGAGTGAATGCCAAAAGCAATGTATTATCATATTTTACATTTATTTGCAACACTAACAATTCCACATCTAAGCGTGCAACATTACAATCCTGTATGCTTTTCTTTTTATTAATAATTTCATCATTCATTGAATCAAACGAAGCTGAATTATAGTCTATCTGTTCTTTCAGACTATGTTCTACATCTATGCTAAATTGCAACGAGATCCATGCAGCCGTTCTGGAGATACCTTCCAATAAACATCCATCCATTCACCTAAACATTTGCATAATATTAATAAGTTAAGTGAAACGTTGCGAACACCCTTAGTATTAAAACATATTGCTATCTCTATTTTTCATTTAGACAATGAAACCACATTTAAAGGTATAACATTTTTTCAGCCTTTACACATCTGTCTTCTAGCTGATATTTGTAATCACACAGATATCCCACAATGCGGAGAAGATAAAGTTTCTTTAAACAAGAGATTATTCCTCGATGAATGTGACATGTTTGAATATAACTGCGATTATAAGAAAAGCAAGTGCTCGTAATTTTTAATTATTCCACAAGTAAGTTTAGGATAAAAGTTTGGGTTAGTCAGCAAGGAAATAAAACAGGGAGTACAGCTTTCTATTTTACTATAAATCAATAGACAATATTATTGAGTTATTAAGTTGCTTTGTCAGCGCAAATTAAAAAAAGTAGCCTTATAATATGACCGCACACATCAACTAGCTTTGAGTCCCATCAAAAACAGCTAAAAGGTTTCGGAGATTACCCTGAACAAAGGTGTCTTGCGGCAAAGCAAATGTTATAAAATATGTTTTTTCGATATTTCATGCAGACATTCCAGACTTTATTAGCTGTATAGGTTTAAAAGGGATTGATCCTATGCATGTTTAGGTATTGCTTAAGATCATGGCGGCTTTTTGTTATTTATAATCTTCAATTATAGACGTATAAACTGTTAAAAGAAGTTTGAAATACTTTATATAAAGTAGAAAATATGAAAGCTGTTACGATCATCAACCTTCAACGTTTACAGATTATGTTAAAATATCTTACGATGAATGTAAACACGAAGAAAATCAAGCTACCAATAAACTTTCTACATTGGTAGAGTCCGCGACATCATCTATAATGGAAGATAAAACAGTATCTCAAATTTGGAGCTCTACAGATTCAATTCCTTTAAACTCAACAACTGTTAACAATGATGGTTAGTATTAGTTTTTATAATTGCCAATCTTATTTATTTTGCAAGAAATCAAATTGCAAATTAATCAAAGATCAACATGATATTTAGGTAATCAAACAACTGTTAAAAATATAAATAATACAACTAATAAACAACCAACACAAAAGAAGTCTACGATAGAAATTAAAGCAACCACAGATAAAATTATTAACAAAGAAACAACTTTATTATATTCAATTGATACGTCAGCACCTAAATACAATACTAAAGCTACAAAATTATGTACAAGAACACAAACAACTTTGTCTACAAAAACAATCAGCGAATCTCCATTACAAAACGTTTCTAATGTTCCAAGTGAAACGTCAAATTCACAGACATATCCAAATAAAATATCTTTTACAACATTACATACAACTTCAAATGAAATGTTTAGTACAACAAAAATGGAAAGTACAGAAACTATAAAACCCACTGATATTACTACTAAGAAAAGCATAACGGAAACTGCATTTAATTCTGTTCCTACTGAAGTAGCCTCTACAAGTAAATTAAATTCTGTATCACCTAAGAATCCATGTGGGGTGTATCCTAAACATTGCGATAGACCTATTTCTTGGGAAACAACAGTCAAAGGTGAAACTAGAGATTTTTATCGAATATTAAAAGCACGATACGGGGATAGAATGAAGGTTCTGAGAACAAATTGGCCTCGCCGTATGAAATATTTTAAAGATTTCAAACCAGACTTCTTCTATGGTCGACATACTGAAAGTTAATACGCTTAATTTTTATGCCTCATATTTTTTTAGTAAAAAGCGTAGTTTTTACCATAACAACCATTTACCATACAAGAACTCTGTTTTTTTTTAAGAAAATGAACGCTTGGCAATATTTTTGCGTAAAAGTATTTTGAAAATGGAATTTTATTATTTGGAAAATACTAAATTACTTTTACTAATTAATTAAAAGTTAGACAACAGTTGAATTGTTTTTGTTTATTCTGTATAATAAGGCTTCTGAGGTTGTTTAGTTACATTTCAACGTCCTTCAAGGAGAGCAGCACGTGTAAGTGATTTAGGGAACGTTTGACTTTGATGTACTGTCGAGTGATTGATTATTTTATAAGAAAAATGCTCGTAACCTCGCCTCTCTATACCTCCATTTTGAAAGTTCAATGAACCGTACAAGGGACTAAAGTTGAAGCCAGTTGTAGCAAACTTGTGTTTTCATGTTTTATGTTTATAGTTTACTCACTGCTTACTATATAACAATTTTTAAATGACCACTAAGGACCATCCTTACAAATTTAATAATTTGACTATCTATATAAAAAAAATCAATTGCTGTTCGTAAGTCTCGGTAAACCTCGAGAATGGCTGAACGAATATATCTTATCTTGGTCTTGAAATGTTCTAGGAGGTCTAGGAAAGGTTTAAAAGGTGAGAAAAATTCGAATAATTGTCGGGAACTAATTAAGTTTTTTTTCCATTTCACGCGGACGGAGTCGCGGGCAACAGCTAGTGTTCAAATAAAAATTGTGAAAAATAACATTTTTTTACCTGAGGTACAGTCATATCATTTCGCTCTTGTATAGTTCACGCTTAACTTCTTTTTAATTGCGATCAGTGTAGATTAAAGAGTAAATCATACAAGAATTTTGAAATAAAAAACATAATAAATAGAGGCTACAGGTTTGTGCGATACACGGAAGATCGGTTCGGAAGTCCGATTACTTTGCCGACCAGTACAGGCGAGGTCGGTCAGTTCAATATACCGATGGACATACTACTAATATAATTCTATTTCATTTTTTTTTATAAATGCATGTTGCAATTACTGGCTGAATACAACATAAGTTGCAATGGTAGAACAAAAACTATAGGTAAAATCTAAATAATCATTCAACTAAAAATTTTCTTTTATTTTTAAATTTTAGGCAACACAGCAGTGCAATCAGTCATTAAGTGGTCCTTAAGGTAGTAGAGATTTAATGAAAAATAATACACTAAGGTAACTAAATGGTGATTGTTTAAATAATCAATTGCGACAGTTAGTCATAGCCCTATCATATATTGTTTCCTTTCCAATATGTGCTTCATTTAAAAAAAGATCCAGATATTTAAATAAAGGTTAAAACGTAGAGAAGGTACGAGATAAGACTTACATACGTAGTTTGAAAACGATGCGGGCTTGTAAATTGCGTTTAAGTTAACTTGGATATCATCGCTTTCAAAACACGTTATACGACTAGATGATTGTAGGTGACAGCTTTTATTTATAAATCGAATTGTATTAGAAAAGTATTAGTTATGTAAGCACCAATTTTTTTCTGTAACTGGAACACCGCGTACAATCTTGACTGTACATTTAGATTATTTTTACTTATTTGTTTACTTATTAGATTCACTTAAATAATACTTTGAAACAAAACAGATTTAATAATACTTTCTATATTATCGTAACTTATTCGTAGAACAACTGTAGCTTAGTATCAAGTGTTTAATTACTTATTCGGAAATTATGCGTAGTTGCTACCTCGAGTGCTCCTGTGGGAAGTGTTATCTCGTATACTGACCTTGTTTTACTTAAATTAACAGTAAAGAGCTTTTTAAATGCTTTATTTTCCGTATCTTTTTAAAAGCATTTACAAATGTAAAATCAAAGGTATTTTGTGACGAATGCCTGAAGATAATTAAGCTACTAAGTTGTTATTTATAGCCACCTACAATATATTTTCATTTTGAAATAAATTCAGTTTTGTCAATTTAATACTGTTAAAAACTATTTTATGTCAAAGGTAAAGCTACGTAGGCGTTTAGACTGATTATTTATTTGTATAATAAAATTAACTCAAATTAGATGGCATTCGTTGGCACAATCTTGTCTGTATTACGTAACACCCACGTACCCAAGGAATTGATTTTTGTTCGGTGCCATCTTAATGCGCATGCGTCAAACCCTCACGCACACCCACGACTGGAGAGTTCACACATGCGTACTAACGACAATATTATACAAAGGAATTTCAACTTAAAGCAATTGAGAATAGAGTTTAAATTTGTCATGTAATATAGTATTGTATTTTTAGACTATTCGTACCTATTATGGAAAATACTGACGCGCCTTCTCCCATATACATCGGGAAACCTATTCGCGGAAGGTTTTCTCTTCGTTCTGTATCCACGAAATATCGTTTATTTTAACAATTTATAAGCGTTTATTCAATTTAATCGATATTATATCCTTTTAAACTCCGTGGGAGGATTTTCAGTGATAATAGGGGGTTGTTTTTTGAATGTAAAAGACGTGACTAAAAATAGATCGTCCGACATACTTGGGGAATCGTCGATACTTCTCATTCATGTAATACATTCATTTTGTGTTCAGCTGTGCTGGTATATAGGTCGGTTGAGACTTTACAAGAAAATTTATCAGTGAATGAACTGTATCCAAACTGAATAAAACACCTCTGTGAACGAAGACGAAGACACACCTCAAGTTTTCGAACACTAACGAATAAAAAAATGTAAGTATTTAATTTCTTTGTTACTTACAATTATTTCCAATTATAGTCTACTATAATTAAGATATGTGTGAAGTCAACCCGAACTTGGCCAGCGTGGTTGACTATGGCCTAATCACCCGTAATTTAGGATAGGCTCCGACCCCCTCGGTGGGGACGTATAGTGAGCTGATGATGATGATGATGATAATTTAATCAATATTCTTCGTAATTAGTAAGTTTTTAAATTAAGAATTTATAGTCAATAAGTAAATTAGAAATTACACTCCAGGGAGTTGGAAATATAAGTTGGGATGTGACGTCATATGAATAAAATACCTTTAAAAATAAATGTTATTGATTCTTTTGTACTAATGATTGCAATTACATTTACCTATACCTTAATGACGCCTGTTGAACATTTAAAAGTACCTTTGACGTGTCACAATGGAAGATGAAGAACTACCCTCGTATTTTTTTTCTAGAAAATTAATTTTATGTTTATATTTTAAATTACACATTTGTACATTTTTATATTTTTATAATTTACCCTCTTGTGAAATTTATTGTGAAATGAGTATAAAAGAAAAATAGAAGAAAAAAGAACCTTTAACTCTAAATGTATTATAAATATTGTGCTATTATTCTGATTCAAATTGGAAAAGATAACATTTTGGTTTGAGCTAATTTTTTTTTTAATATTTTGTAACAAATTACGTTGACAAATTGATTCTATGACGACTATTATATTATCAAACAAAATGACAATTTTCTATCCGTAATAGCACCTACTTTAGTAATCTATTTTCAAATATTAAAAAAAAATGTTGATTTTAAGAAGAAAAAAATAATCTTGACCCAGTCTAAATATTTTATTACAACGGTCGCCGACTCCATTCGCGATGAATTAAAAAAAAACATAATTTGTAGCCTATATGTTCTTCCAGACTATGTTATATATGTATGCCAAGTTTCATCGAGATCCGTTCAGCAGTTCTGGAGATACCTTCAAACGTCCGTCCATCGAAACATTCGCATTTATAATATAAGTAAGAAGTAAGATTGAGTACTGAAGTCTTAGTAAGTGTGAGTAATTATTGATTTATGTGAGGTCGGCGCACTTGATGTGCATTCAATGATCACGTGACCACCGCCTTGTGACTGCGTTCAACTTAGCCAACTACGTCATCAGAGACAACGCAACAAAAGTTTTTTTTTATAGGATCTACACTAATTAAGTTTTTTTATATATCCACGTGGACGGAGTCGCGGGCGACAGCTAGTATTATATATATGTATATGTAGTTGTAATCGCATTTTATCAAAATAGGAAATTCATATCCCGAGCTTTGTCATACTCAGTTTAAATTTAAATATATGACGATATAAAACTTAATTCCGTGATTTTGGCTCTGTTACATTTGAGACCATGTTAACTTTACTCCAATTGAATCACTAAATTACTTCCTTTAAAAGTTACAGATTACAGTAAAATTTGGCTTAATAGTTTTATGTTTGTTCCTACATTGTTTAATTTGTGCTGAATCAAGTTGTTTTTGAAATACTAAAGTGATAAATAAAGTTCGTACCTTGTGCATTCGCGATGTCTAAATTTACAGACAAACAACGTAATCAAAAGTAAGTAATCACGAGTAATCACGTAAAATCTTTCTATCCTTTTCTATAAAGAATTTCATGTTTTTATTGTTATTTTTTTTATCAAGAAACAAAACGACTACAGTTATTTTCCAAAGAGACTTTAATGATTGGTAGGTCCATTGTTCTTGAATGCGAATAGCTTGCGATATAAAAATGCACTAGAAACATACTTTTCTTTATATTATAAAAGAAACTAACAAAAGTGAATCTGAAATAAAATCTTTATTTTCATATGCTGTTAAATACGATAGTGATTAAGTTAAGTTTTTTCTTAATATCGCTCGGATAGTCGCGTAGTAGTAGTGTTAAAAAAAATTGTACGTTTCTCGCCTATGCGTGCCTATGCCACTAGACAGATCCTGATGAACTACTTAGATGTTCTGATGATGTCATACATTAATTATGCCCTAAAAACCTAAAAAAAGGACATAATGACATTATGTAACATTATTTTAATTTTAGCATTGAACGAAATTAAGGGAGAAATGTTAAGCTAGTAATTTGTTTTTCTTTCTAATTGATTCATTAAAACTTTCCCACTTACCGTGTTTCCGTTGCCAGTTTTGAAGTGCAAACGCATTTGGCAAGCTGCCCTAAAACCTTAAGCCTTTAATGGACAAGTCATGCAAAATAACTTGTAGCGCTCTCGACGGATATTTTTAGATATTTACAATTTTATATTTACTTACTAACTCTAAAATTAAGAAATTCAAACATTTCACCTAATAGCAAGGTTTATGGTTACTAATAGCGAAAAAAAAATATCTTGTTCCCTCTCAAGCAATTAACCAAAGTTATATTTTGCAAATCAAACCAATTCGCATTATATTATTACGAAAATATTCAAACATAATTTTGGTACCCCTGCCAAAAGTTTAGCAGCAAATTATCTAAAGCTCCATTTCTATCGAATGGATATCTCGTCAAGGGATCGAAAAGCAATCATTCGATCTGTACAGAAATCGGAATTCGATGAATTAAATCAAAGCCTCGTTCTCAATTTATCGAAACTAATATTCTCTGACCCGTTTATTTATTTGATCTCATTTACTTGTATAGGTTTGTAAAGCGTGTGTTTATTGAAGATGTTTTCATGTTTTATGAACAAAGCTCGTGTTCTTTACAAATCTTGTACTAAATCAACATTTATGTGTACAATAAAATTGGAGTGTATGTAAATTAGATAAAAAAAGCATTTCGCGAACGTAGTCTATGTTCGTGACTTTTTAAAATTTTATTCTGTTTGTCGCGAATACGCGTTTGTTCCGGGTGATATTTGGTACGGCTGGATTGATTTCGGCTGGACTTTTACTCAAAGGTAGCTGATGTGTGCCGAAGTAACTTAGGCTTTATTTTTTTTATTTTGATTCCGCACTGACGAAGATACGGGTAACCGCTATTTCTTAATGTAATTCGTCAATTTATAAATCTTACGATAATAGATGAATATATCAATTAAAAATGTGAAACAAAAGAAGCTCGCTAATTCATTAATTTAGTGACTGTTTTTTATTCAAGATTCCAAACATTTAAGATTTAAAACGGCGAAGGAAAACATCGTGATGCAACCTGCACATATCTGAGAAGAAATTCAAAGATATGTGTGAACCAACCAACCCGCACTTGGCCAGCGTGGTTGACTATGGCCTAATCACCCTTCACTTAGGGTAGGCTCCGAGCCCCTCGGTGGGGACGTATAGCGAGCTGATGATGATGATGATGAAGATTTAAAATAACTTGATTCTCCAAAGATATTCCTGAACAATTTTCTCTTTAATAGTGTATTTGGTTTATAATGTAAGAAAATGTACAATTATAACTGTTGAATGTAGAGTTTTCTCTACAAGTGTTACGTACTACGAATCAACAATGAATTTAAGTAACAAGTTGTTACATTCACTTGGCAACTTACCAACCAATTTTGCACATTTAATTTACCAAGTCAGATGCTCGTATTTTAACTTCAACATTTTCACAAATTCACTTTTACCTAACAAAAGTGATGTTTTTACTTTTGTTAAATTTCTTTACAACGGTCTCTGATAATTGTGAAATTTTTTAAATGGAGGGAGGAGAGAGGCTATTTCCGCAGTGGATTGTTACAAGCTGATGATGATATATAACTTTACATATTTCAAATACCAAGTATCGTAAACAGATCAACCATCATCATCATCAATAAATTATCTACTGACATCAAATATCACTTATCAATTTCTATAATCGCTAAAATTTTTCCTCATAAACCTCAGTAGAATACTTATACGAGCAGTGCTTCGTAAGGAAATTTAAAAGCGCTTCAATGCAACTTCAATTGGTCAGCACATCGTTTCATTTGTAGCGTAAATCCAATTTGCCATTTACATTGGACGTTATGCGCACAATTTCGTATATACATTCATCATTTTGATTGCTCTACAATATAACCAGTGATATATTACTTCCATTTTCAATTAATTATTTTACATAACAAATCTATCAAACGTATAACAGTGGTAGAGCCCGCTTTAACTTCGCACGAATCGGCCAGGTTCGCCCGGTGAAATACCACCACCACACAGAAGACAGGCGTGAGTGAAAGCAATTCCGCGTTTCGTCTGATGAGTGTGCGTACAGAGGCCTAGTTTAATCCTCTTTCTCTTCCCAATCTTTTTTTATAAGGAAAGGATGGGAAGTGGAAGTGGACTTGAGAGGATGCATGGAAAGGGAAGATATTTTCTTTCTGTGCATCCTCTCCTCCGTCGATTAAAGGTAGGCAACGCATATGCAATTGCATATGTCAATGGGCAACGGTCACTTCGCTATTTCAGCGATTTCAGGTGGCCGCTCGCTCGTTTGCCACCTTTTGATATAATTTTTTTTATCTCTGTATGTATTTTGTCAGTTAAAGTTCACGGGTAAAGCTTTGTGATTTTCGGTTTTCTTTTACCTTTTGTCTAACACATTGTGATATAATCATTCGACAACATTCTTTTGTGTCGACGCGTACCTTTTTTCCCTTTGTTTTTATTCACGAAGATATAAAAGATACATCATCTTTATCGGATTTTCCCTTTTTTACTGCGGCAATCTTACGAGGTCGAAAGTAAAAATCGACGAGTGCCCTTAGGAGACGAGAACGCTTCAAATTAGATACGAGAGAACTTCGTCGCACGGTTCGACGAAACTTTACAAATTAGAAGAGAATTCCTGAGCCGTAACAAAGCGACCATCTATGCGAGTCTTGCACTAATTCGCAATTATTTCGTTCAGATTTAATAAAAGTCTGCGTAGAGTACAACTATTATGTCTGTGATGAAGCGAGACTATCACTACATATAATCGAAATGATATTGTCCTGTTGTAAACTTTCTTATACTTTACGTATATTTTGTTAATGATTATTCTTGAAACAGTTTAAAAATTTGAACTTTAATTATCAAGATAATCAACCTGAAAAAATGCCGTATATCTCATAGAAATAATTTTTTGTTCTTTTAATTAAGAAGTTTTAAACTTCTACCTGATTTCGGCTATCTCTAGACACAATGAGAAACGCAAACAACGTCTGGTATTTTCATATGTATGAGGTGGTATGTTTTGTTTACAGGGCGACGACAGAGGGAGGTCTGGCCCCGGGCGGCGATGATATGCCAGTGGGAGGACCCAAGACACCGCAGCAGATCGCCGCTCAGCGCCGCCTGCAGCAAACGCAGGCCCAAGTCGATGAGGTATGCAGTGTACACGCACCTTTATAAACATTATATAATATTTGTATTTCCCGATTTCACCTGCTGAGACGATTTAAATTAAGTACAATCGAGTAAGCTGGAGTAATCCATGACCTGCATTCATGCTATATACACGCCAGACATTTAGTTGCGGAAACCAAAGCCTGCTACTCCTAAGTATAATAATTTCCTAACCATTCCTATTTCTTATAATCTTATCTTACTAATATTATAAATGCGAATGTTTAGATGGATGGATATATGGATGAATGGTTGGATGTTTGTTTGAAGGTATCTCCAGAACTGCTGAACGGATATCGATGATATTTGGCACACATAGTCACAACATAGTCTGGAAGAACACATAGGATAGTTATGTTTTTATTTAATTCCGTGCGGACGGAATCGCGGGCGACAGCTAGTAACTATTTTAAAGAGTGACTGTACTTCCGAAAAAAAAATATACTACCACACTTATCACATATCTAGAATCTTCAATTGACTACTAAGGGAGGTCTTAGTGTAGATTTAATAGTAATTAAAAATATATTCCCCAGGTGGTCGATATTATGAAAACAAACGTGGAGAAAGTACTGGAGCGAGATCAGAAACTGTCCGAATTAGATGACAGAGCAGGTGAGACAAACATTTTTATTTTGATGTCTTTTAATATCCGATATAAGGAACGAAATATTTCAAAGGCTGCCAGTCTTAAAAAATTGAATCGAATAAATCCTTTAAGCTTGGATAAAGTAAAAAAGCTGACATAAAGATTATGAAGAGTAAATCCGTAAAAATGTTGTACTTTTATTATTTTTTTGTGACAAGAGTTATATCAAACTTTAGCTAACAATAATACTAAAACTTTTTTGTAAAAAAAACTAATGTTTTTTAACGACGTTTTTTATATGAAGATATTTGTTTTTTTTTCAGATGCACTCCAGCAAGGTGCGTCACAGTTCGAGCAGCAAGCTGGTAAACTGAAAAGCAAATTCTGGTTGCAAAACTTAAAGGTAACATGGAAAAATAAATAATTTCTAACAAAAAACAACAAATACCAATTCTAGCAAATTAACAAAACACAAAATGCACTAATAATAGCACATGGCACATGTAGACGTGTGCACATGGCCAGCACTGGACAGTCCGATCTCACTCTATCAACAATGAGTTGCAGGTAGCTGTTGGTTATTGTACATTATGAACTCGACAGTTGGTACTACTGAACATTAAATGTACAGTTTTTGATATAAATTTTGTAATTAATTTCTATTTGCCATCATATTCCAGATGATGATCATCGCAGCTGTGATTGGCATCATCATTTTGGCTCTAATCATCGGTAAGTTATAAATTATAAAAATTATCTCGCACATAGAGAATGTCACTTTTATGTTTTATAAAAATAACTATGTTTTAGACTAATCATATCATTATTTTTTTCATATTTTTCAGCCAACTTTATGTGAACAAGTTTCGGTAATCGAAGTTTAATTTAGAAGTTAATTGTTATTAATGGATAGTTATGTATGTTTTTTTTTATATTTACTATGTTGGTATATTACTATGCCTTTCTTGGTAAGTGGGCGTAACGTTATGTCGTTGTATTTGTTGGCTTTATCTGTTCTAATTTCACTTCGTATGTTCGTATCTGTCTCTATTCAAATGCTGTTTTATAATAATCTCTGCTCCTATAAGTTGACTATTAACAAAAATTGTGACTGGGACTTCAATTTACTATATCACCCCTAACTTAGGATAAGCTCCGAACCCCTCAGTGGGGACGTGTGAGCTCATGATGATGGTAACTTGTGATAATCCTTTGATTAATGATTGTGTTAACAAAATAAAAAAAGTTAAATTTCATTTAATTCTGTCTATATTATTTTAACATAGAAGAAGAGGGGTGAGGTATTCAAGTTACATAATAGTCACTTTTTTTACATGAGTAGTCAACTTATAAAATATTTTCAAGCTTTAATTTGCAGCAATGTTTTACTTGTGTCAAATTGCTCTGTTAAATAATAAATGTATATTTAACCGTTAAGATGATAATAATATTCTGTGTAAAGCTATACAACTTAGAAATTATGGAATTGCTTAAGAACGAACTTGATATTCTTGGTCCAAGAATGCGATGCTTAACCCAACTTAACCTAAACCCAGTTTATTTCCGCTTCGAATAATAAATTTAATGTTGCTCGTATATGTTATTTGTCTATTAAAAGACATAAAGAAAGAAAAACTGATAATTACTCAACTAAGTTCATATTTAAAAAGGATTAATTTTACATTAATTAATATTAATTAGCTGTAAATTCACATAAAATCATTTATTTTAAGGCGTAAAAATATATAACCAACCAATACCTACATAACAATCAAAGCTTAATTATATAATCAATTGATTAATATTCAAGAAAGTTTATGGTTTTTCTTTTTAAAATAAAATAGGCATATTAATAATTATAATTTAATATTTTCTAGGTCTGTAAACACCAAAGGAGGATTGAAGCTGCGTATGTATTTTATTAAAAACGTTTAATATCAATTTACACTACATTATTTTTCTCCAATACCATTTTTTTTTTATAAAATACTAAAATAATAGTGTAATTGTACAAGAGAAAGTGTTTTGATATTGCAATTAACTTAACACACTTATGATCTTTTTTTTAAACAACAACAAACATTGTATACAACTTGAAATAAGTAAATAAACTTAAGAATAATCACCTGTAGTTTCTGCTATGCGAAATAAAGCTTAGTTATAATAAACTAGCTGTCGCCCGCGACTCCGTCCGCGTGGATATAAAAAAACTTAATTAATGTAGCCTATGTGTTCTTCCAGACTATGTATGCCAAATTGAATCGAGATCCGTTCAGCCGTTCTAGAGATATCTTCAAACACCCATCCATCCATCCATATCACATCCATCTTAAGCTCTTCAAGGCATAAATTCGAAAAAAAATGAATAAATAGTATCCTATATCCGTCTCCTGGCTCTAAGCTACCTCCTCACCAATTTTCAGTCACATCGGTAAAGTCGTTCTTGAGCTATAAATAAAGAGAGTGTAACTAACACGATTTTCTTTTATATATATAGATGTAACTTAAATGTAACTTAATTTTAATAAATGTTTCAGGTACTATATAACATCGAAAGCGGTGCCGGCGTTTCGTTTATTAAAATAAGTGTTTATTGAAATATTCCCAATTTATATATACCAAATATATAACAATAATGTTTCGAACATTTGAGTCTACATAATTTCATTATATACGTATATTTATTCTAAAGCATAAAATTATAATTCACGCGTCCTACTTTCGCCACTTTCATTCACAAACTGTGAAAAATCTAAATAGAGTATTTTTAGACGATCTTTTTTGTTTAAAAATTTACCTTAAATATCCTAAACACTTAGATATACTTAAGGCTTATCTATTTATATAACATCTCATAGTTTAATATTATGTTAATATATTTAATTATTTTATAATATATTTTAAATGTTTATTAGCCAATTATTATAACATAAAATGTTTATATAAAAAAGGCAAAATATCACATAGCTTTCTCTTTTTATTAGTACTTTCTGTATAACGAAAGCTATTCTATTCTATGCTGGTATGCTATTTCGGTAGACTTGTTTCCATAGGAATATATTTTTTATTTCTTATTTAGTAATGATAGCATTTGGATTCTTTCATGCCAGTTTTCAATAATAAAATAACATCTGAATTCTAATATTGATATACAATTTTTATCACTAATGAGATTGTCTCATAATCAATAAAGATTGTCTCTTTATTTGTGTTTATATTTAATTTATGATATTATTAAAATAAATTCAATATTGAAATCAACAAACTACCTCACAAATTTTTGACTTATTACTTATTTTTATAAACAGTATTAACTCTCTTCATTCTTTATTTATACCTTATAACTACAGTATGATTTTTTTTTATATTAACTGCATTTATTACTGATCTTAATTATTTTTGTTCAAAGAGATATGTACAAAAATAATTTGTGAAAAATTAAAAATGTTAATCTTTTCTTAATTTGTTTGTATACTATAGAGGAGCCTAAATTAGTACACACTACGTATTACTACCAATACTACTATTACTAGTAGAAAATATTACTGATAATTTTGTATACCATATTTGAATTCAGATAATGTTACAAAAGAATGTTACAAAAATAAAATGTTACACCTTCTAAACTTATTATGAGACATATTATGTATTCTATATAAATCACTAAATCAATAAGAAAGATCTTTTAAATATTTTTATTTATGAGTTAACAGTAAACAACCATCTTGATAAAGTTTAATATTTGTTTATAATTTATTACTAGATATATAACATAAATTAAAGATGGTTTTCGTAATGTCAAAAATTTTAATTATGTCGAAATATTTATATATTCATTTAAATATTTAAGAGCTTTATTTTATTTTAAATGCACCACATTGTTGTTGAAACTTTTATGTGTAGCTACATGTATAGATTAATACAAACATATAATTAATTATAATTAATATATATAAGCGAAATATCGCTACAATCATATGACCATGATTTTTGAAACACAATATTTTTATTTATTAATTTTGCTTAAAAATTAATAACGAATTTGATATATCTATAATTTATTTAAACTATTTGCTTAATGCAATGATTTTTTTATGATATTTTAATATTGTGTTTCAAAAATTATGGCTCTAAAATTCACTGTAAGGTAAATGAAAAACACACCAGAATATAATCGGCTTAGTTTAAGATTGCAGCATTTGTATTCTAAAGGCATTTAAGTTAATTGAAAAGTATTTAACGAAGGCTAATCTATTGTTATTTTGCTGATAAAGCAAGTTACTTTAATTGCAGTTACTATGACATATTATAATTTGTAATTGACGAACAAAGAGATCTATTACTACATATTAAGACTTATTATACATCCTTATTTCTATATGATTTCTATTTTATTTGTTGTTTATATTATTAATATCTTATATCGTTAACATTAAATGTCTTTAAAACATAAATGCGACAAATACTGTTCATCTAATTATAGAGATCGTCGATATAAATTTTATTAAAAAAAAAACAATATTTTTTTAATTGTACTAAATTATCAAAATTTATCATTAATCATAAATCCGTTACGATATATTTTTGGTACAGTGATTACTGAGGCACTAAATTCAAATTTAATTTATTTTATTTTACGACATCTCGATAATTAGGTAAATAGTATTAAGGTGAGTATAGACCAGAGCATTTACTTGTAACAGAACAACGAGCCGCTCTATATGTTCTAGTTTCCCCTAGACCACACGTGTTTTGGAACTACTTTTACCTGTATAATTCCACTCGTATGAAAGGTCCATTACACAGAGATGCTCTAGTGTATATTCACCTTTATATAAATATTTATAATATTTTAATTCAAGTATAAATATATGTATGAAATGAATCGAGCGAGTACCTACGTAATAGGTAGGAATAGAATTCAAAATAGTACGTAAATGGTCATAGCACGTTTGGCTAGATTACTTGTAATCGTAGACCCAGTTACATTATAATATCCTACATTTACGTAAATCGATTCTTTGAAAAATTGTATTAGACCAAAGGTTTAATAGATTAGTTAATAATTAAAGGTTTAAACGTGTATAGTAACTTCAAATTACCTTGTTCTGATACATATTTGAATACCTTTTGACGTCAAATACGTGTGGAAAATTAATATTTATTGTTATAAACATAATCAGTGTAATCATTATAAACAGATCGTAGATACTTTTATGATCCCTAGGTGTACTACCCCTATAACCTATTATAATATATTGCTTCAGTAAAATAAAGCAAATTTCAACAAAATAAAACTGTCGATTAATTTTATTAACTATTTAAAACGTCTCGATGAAAGAAGTTTCATTATACGTATTTTTACGTCAAGCGCCTGAAGGTTTTGGTGTTGCATGACAATTTATTTGTGTGATGTCGATTCCTGAATGCCAGGCGCTCACTAAATATTCATATACAGACTAGCTGTCGTCTGCGCCCTTGTGTTCTTCCAGACTGTGTTCTCCATCTATGCTAAATTTTAGCGAGATCATGCAGCCGTTCTGGAGATACCTTCAAACAAACATACATCCGTCGACTAATGTAAAATTAGAACAAAAACTTACAAGGAATGGTTTTGTTCTATTTTTTTTTTGTAATACAACCGGACCTATGACCCAGAGGGCTAGGCAGAGATTAGGGACAATATAATCATAGTATAATAATAAAACAAATATTAACAGAAATAAAACTTTATATAATTAATAAATTATTCAGTAATAATCTTCTCGCCGGGGTCGTATACTGTGTCGACAGTCTCCGGAGGCAAGGGGTCCATGAGTTCAAACTGCAAATCGTACTGTTGGTCCAAACCTAGGTAACTATCACTTAAAATATACAAAGTGTATATAATACGACCTGAAACAAAGGATTTTATTTTAATACATTGCAGATTACTCATAGAAAAATATATTCATCCTTTTCATTCTATATGAAAAAAGTGAGAGAACAAATTTGTACATGAGAAAACAAAGAGATTGAATTAAATGAAAATTTACAAAATTGGAGTTACCACGTTTCCCTCAATTACCTGTCATAGGTGGAGTATACAAGGTGACTTGAGCAGTGCCTCTCGGTGGTACCCGCTTCAGAGCGAGCAGTTCCCCTTGCTCCGTGTCTCCAAGTGTCAGGAACCAGCCCTCGTTCTTCCCGCGTGGGAACCGCGGGCACAGCACGTTGTTAGGATTACCGCCGCGACGCTCCATATCTATTAATATTGTGTATTCCTGCGAACAAATGTGTAACAAGATTAACCGTGGGTTTCTGAGACTAAATTTTCAATTTAATATATATTGTTATCTCTGTTTTGTTAAAGATAATGACAGGGATGACGATATTATTTATACAGAACTTTTGGTCTCAGAAACCAACTATAAATATTATTCTCTTACTTGTTCAGCATGTAAAGGAAGCCAGGAATCTCTTCCAGGCGGTTGCTGTATCCTTTTATCTTGTTCGCAATCACTGTCGAACCACAAGCCACGGATTTTCAACTTTATGTCTAAAGTCGGAAGGTCGCAAATTGCCTGCGAAGAGAAAAAAAACATTATTTAGTACTTGGATAATAGAAAAATAATTTTATAAATTTACTTTGAAATAGTATTCGCATAGGAAAGAGAAAGACTGATGCAATGTTTAAGATTTTTTCTTTGGACTTTATTTTTTCGTCTACTCTAGAAAGTAACTCTAAAAAGATACTCTAAAAGGCTACTCTAAAAGCATACTCTAAAGCAACTTACCCTATGTATCTGTTCAATTTGATACTCTTCAAATTCTCTCCTACAATACTTAGCTAGAAGTTCATAATTCCTCATACAAGCTACTTTCAGTCCATTAAGCATTGTACATGGCTTATTAGTATCTCGTGTCATATGAGAGAAGATATAGAGATGCTGTGAGTCAACATGAGGTAAGGTCGTGAGTGGAGAGTCAGATAGCCAGCGAGCCTGCACTATACATTGCATTAGAAGTTGACATGACAGACAGACTGACAGCCAACCGTTCTCCGCAGATGTATCTATCATTGCCTATAAATTATACAAAATCATTTTAATTTCTTATTATAAAAAGTGCATTAGTGAAAATTAAAGGTCAAAATAAAAATTTCCTAAGAAAATCATTAGTCTATTATTGTCATTATTGTTTACTAGCTGTCGCCCCTGACTCCGTCTGTGCGGAATAAAAAAAACATAATAAGTAGTCTATGTGTTCTTCCAGACTATGTTATATATGTATACCAAATTTCATCGATCTGTTCAATCGTTCTGGAGATACCTTCAAACATCCATCCATCCATACATCTAAACATTCGCATTTATAATATTAGTAAGATTTAAAATACAATGTAACATTACTATAGAAATGCGGTAAGTAATTCTAAGGGTTTTAGACATAAGCCGGGATCGTACGAACTCGGCAGTCGCGTCAGAGCGAGACAAAGTATGTATTTGCCATAAGTTTGTCTCGCTCTGCAAACTGCCGGGCGTTGTTCGTACGATTCCAGATTTTATGTAAATGAACCCTAAAGGAGTTCTCTTACAGCATACCATAGACACGATGTTTAGTTACTAAATGTGGACAGAAGTTTTAATATTATATTTAATTTTGGAAACTGATATTAAAAGTGACAAAATAATACCTGTATAATTCTTATAGTTTGATCTAGCACAGATTTAGTGTCTGTCAAATAGTCTGTATTGGGTAACGTGAGTCGAGTCAGATGCGCCTGTAGTAAGAGGAACGCTTTCACATTTGACGAGTCCAAAGTCAATGTATCCACTGGCAGACGACACTGTTGGGCTAGCTCCCTGTAAATTTAAATCTTATAAACTTAACGAAATAATAAATATAAAGAAATCCTAACGATGATGTCAAAAGAGTTTTCAATTTTTCATATGTCTGTCAAAGTTTGAGTTTGAATCGGACTTTGGTCTTAGTCTTGTCCGAGTAACTCTAAGGCTCGTCGTACACAAGACAAAGTAAATCTTCGAAACCCGACAAGTTTAGTCGCTAAGCGACTTACTCAATGTATTTTCATAAAGATTCACTCTCTTTATCTTCTATCGCAATCTGTTTGTCGAAATCGTGAGAAAAGCCGCTACATATTTCAAGATGGCGGAGCAAATCTACAATGGACAGAAGTCACTCGAATCGCTCGAATTGACGACTCACGTCGACAGCGATTCGAAGGGACTAAATAGTGTTCGTCATCTCACCCATTAAGTATATCCTCATTATGTCTGACTGGCAGTGTCGCGTACTCCTCGGAGTCAGCGAGCACGCGCAGCAGATCGTCCGCGTTCATGTTGGCGTGCAGATGCGCGCTGAAGTGCGCCATTGTCTTGTGAGACAAATAGTAATATGACGCGATACGACCCATCCATGTGCTGTGTATAGTGCGTTCATCCTGCAGAGAGAGGGTTACTTTATTTACATTTTTTTAACATAACCTAGAAATAATTTATTTTCGTATACAATAATCTAAGTTTATTGCTTTTTCTACTCCTATAGATTATAGGACTTACAAAATAATTAAATAACACATATAATGAATCCATTATCAAACGTATTCTTACGAAAACAATCTTTTATTATGTGTAGACTTATATACGTAGAAATACGATCTCAAATTTATATTAAACGTATCTTCTTTCTTTCTTAAGTCACTAATTTAATGAATCTTACTAATATAAATACGAAAGTTTGAATGAATGTATGGAGGATCTAAACGAAATTTGACACATAGACTTTAGTAGATGGGCTACTTAATAATATTTTTTTAATTCCACACGGACAGCCACAGGATAAAGCTAGTAAAGAATAAAATGATTACCTCTTCGATTTCAATACAATTAGCATTCAGTAACGCATCAAGTCTAGTATGCACGAGGTTGGAGAGATAGTAATTGACGTCTTGCGGCTCCAAACTGTCCAGTTTGTAATACGAAGGGTTCTTCAGTAGCCGACGGAAGAAGTACGTCCATGTCAGATAATCCAGAATATCTTGTTTCGTTTGAACAGTACCTTTGAAATAATAAAATTGTTTTTTTTTTAATTTCATATGTCAATACCTATTTGTTCACCCTAAGACCATGGGAATCAACTTATAAAGCTTGATTGCTGAAAGAAAATACTTTTAAACCACTTTTGTCGAAATTAATTGTTAATTTTTTCCTATTATTTCACACTTTATCTTTGGTGATACGTATTTAATGACTGTTCTGGTCCACTTAAATTTAAAATCCAAAAGAATTAAATGATAACATACCAGCAACGATTTCAGCATTAAGATGATCAGCCAACACCTCGAGCAGACTGGACTCTACGGGGAAAGGCTCGTACAGGAACTTCTTGTAGAAATTCTTCTTCTGGTCATGAACTAACACCACGGCCACACCTTCATTGTCGTACTGCGAAAGCATACAAATATAACATCTATACTAATATTATAAAGCGGAAAAATTGTTTGTTTGTTTGAACTAATCTCAGAAACTAATGGTCCGATTTGAGATTTTTTTTTTGTTGGATAGTCCATTTATATAGGAAGGCTTTAGGCTATATAACATTACGCTACGACCAATAGTTTTTTTTTTAATTCCGCGCGGACAGAGTCGCGGGCGACAGCTAGTATAGTATATTAACATTTATAAAATAGAATATAATATAAGATTTAAGTATTATTTTAAGCGTAGAAATTAAATTTATCTTCTTATTTGTCAGCCATACGTTACTTTGAGTATTTCTTCCCGTTTTTTTAAACACCTAAAGTACAACGATTAACCTTTTTAATTTAACTTTTTTTTCAATTTTTCGACTTCTAAAGATCTTAAACTTAAGAAAACTTAATGTTAAAAATGTTTATTAATTAAAATAGATTCTTAAGCTTGATAATATAGATTGTATCCTGTGTTATAACTAACCTGAGGTCTACCAGCTCGTCCCATCATCTGCAGAACATCAGTGATGGGCATATCCACGTATCTCTTCTGCTTACCGTCGAAATACTCCGTACCCTTGATGACCACCAAGTGTGCGGGGAAGTTGACACCCCACGCCAATGTCGCCGTGCAAATTAACACCTTATTGTAATAGATATAAAGTTTAATTTAGAAATTAAACCAAATAATGTCAAAGATAAAATAATTAACAATAAAATGAGTAGATAACAGTTAATTTTAGTTTAAATGACGAATTTAAGCATTAAGTACGCTTTTTCACTTAGCAGCTAAAGGCGCATCGCTGGCCGCGGGTCGCCATTTTGTATAGATCATCCGCTTCCATACAAAAGCAACCACAGTCAATTACTTCAAAATGAGGTTAATTACCTGAATTTTCTGGTTAACAAACAACTCTTCAACCGTGGTGCGATCTTTCTCGTGCAGTCCCGCATGGTGTATGCCGATACCGAACGCCAGCGTCAGCTTCAGGTTGGACTCTCGAATGTTCGATAGGATCTGTTCCATCTCTGACTCCTGCATATGCAGCCATTGCTTCGGGTTGTCTTCTGCGGCTAAATATGCTATTAGATCCAGTGCTGTCAATCTGTGAATACAAATTTTATGATGAATGAAATTATGAAAAATGGTACGCTGATGAGATAGAGATTGGTTTGCGATGATAGACATTTACAAACCATTCCAATCCAAATTAAGAAAATTTTTCTTGTGTTAGTGAGATTAGATTAGATTGGATTGGATTGGATTAGATTATATTAGATTGGACTGCACTAGATTGGATTAGATTATATCCATCACATGACTTAATATATCATGCGATAAAATATTTAATGTTACCTGGTCTGTCGCCGACTGGAGACGAAGACGAGCGCGGGCGAGCAGGGCGAGTGCTGTCGGATGGCCTGGAAGGTGGGCTTGTTCATGCTGAGCATGCGCGGGCAGTAGTGCCGTCCTGGGTGACCGGATATGTGCACCTATCACAAATTTGTTTCAATATCACAACTATTGCAAATCTATTTTATATTCAACGGAAAGGTATTTACGAGATATTGGTGTATAGTCCCATTGTGAAAAGGAATATATTTGCAAGACAAAAAAACGAAAAGTAAAATGTCAATCTTCCACGTGTTTGCAACACGTCCAACAATTATAAGATTCCTAGATGTCCAAAATATTGGTTAACCAAATGAAAATTAACCAATAAACATTTTCAAAAGCAGACACTTTTACATTAAAAACAATAATTACCTCCAATGGAACAGGACGGACTGAAGGTCTGAAGTTATAAAGTCCCATTTCGCCGATGTTCAGCCAATTGGCCAAGTCCTTAGCGTTCGCGAGCGCAGTCGATAGACCGATAATACGGAGACGTCTTGATGTGTGTGATTCTATAAAATTCGTTCTGAAAACAAACATTGCAAAATTATTAAATACATTTTTTTTGAGTATAATAAAATAAAAATATTTTAAGAATATGGATTGTTTCATATATTAATTAATAATTTAAAAGAAAGTAAGGTTCAATTGACAAACATAAAAAAATTTCATCCTAAAAACCATTAAAAGTATTTGAAAGTACATACATAGTTTTAGGAAGAAAATCCGACACTGTGCCGGTGTACTGGCGCAACACTAGCCTTACTAAGATATCGACGTTGTCCCCTCACTAATCATTCTGATACAAGACTTTGTAACGAAAGTCTTCTAACTAATAATGTCTAAAAATAGACATATCTGTAGATAAATATATAACATGGACATAAGTAAATAAGGCTTTATTTACCTCGAGACAATAACTTCAAGGACAGGACCTCTGTCTTCTCCCAGCAGATGTATCTCATCAATAACTATCAAAGCGACATCCCGGACATAGTTCCTGGTCTGCCAGGAGCGGCTGATGCCGTCCCACTTCTCAGGAGTAGTCACTATCACCTGAGAGTTCCTGATCGCTCGGATATCAGGTGATACGTCACCTAGTTATGGAGAAATACATTAAAAAAATCTCGATTTCGCTTCTAATATAAATCTCACTAATATTATAAATGCGAATATTTAGATGAATGGATGGATGTTTAAAAGTATCTCCAGATCGGCTAAATGGAACTCGATGAAATTTGGCATAGAACAAAGTCTGGAATAACACATGTACAATTTTTTTTTTAAATGCGCACAGACGGAAGAAAATTACAGCTCCATACAGATGGACACTAGTAAATTCTAGTAACTTGAGAGATAAATAACCATTGTTCAATTAATTCACATAAATTATTTATTGTTTTTATTTCATTCTCATTAGTTTCTTTTTGTATTGGCAACATTTAAATTAGTATAAACTTTTTCCTATGCTGGCAACAATTTTTCGTTGGACATTCGTTGGACATAAGTGTTTGCTACCATAACGCACGCTATTGTTCATATATTTAAGTAACTATTCAATAAATAGTTAATAAACACTCACCACTTGTTTAATTATATAATCATTTTAATTGTAGCAGTTGAAAGAAATTTTCAATTTGTTAACTCCGAAGAGAAGAAATTGCAATTATAAGTATAGAATTTTAAATAATAAAAACCTGTTAATTCAACAACATTCTTGCCGAGTCTCTTCTCTAGGCGCACTTTCCAATCTTTTATTCGTTCTTTGACTAAAGCTTTCAATGGCGCTATGTAAACCACCTGAAAAACATATAAAATATGTTATTTAAATATACAAGCTAATTATGCTTATATTTTACTTAAATCGGATAACATTTAATAATGATTATTCCAGGATTATCGACGACTGCTGAATATTGCTGGATTGTTCTAAGTTATTGTACAGTCGAACCTGGGTAAGCGAGAGGCATTCCCGACGGACGATCTCAATAAGCGAGAGACTTGGAGAGAAACCTCTACAAGTGAAAGTTATTGTTAGGTCTCGACAGACGACCTCCATAAGCGCGAAACTTGGTGCAAGAAACCTCTACAAGCGAGAATTATTGTCCGGTCCAACCGGAAGACCAGCATAAGCGAGAAAATTGGGAAGAGCAACCTCTATAAGTGAGAGTCATGGCCGGTCGCGACGGACGACCTCTATAAGCGAGAAACTTGTAGAGACAAACCTTGATAAGCAATTCCTTGTCCAGTACCGACTGACAACCTCCATAAGCGATAAACTAGGGTTATATTATATAAAACCTTTATAAGCGAGATAAATATCACGATCACTTGGAGGTTCGATTGTGTATTTTTCATGTTATTAGAAATTACCTTACAACCAGGATATTGGTTGAATACTCTGAACATGGCAACTTCAGCGACGATTGTCTTGCCGGATCCAGTAGGCGCGCCCAGCAGTACATTGTTGTCAGTGTGGTACAGGCAATGGAAGATCTGAGTCTGTATCGGATTGAAGTGGGTAAAGTTGTACAACATCTCAAATGATGGATTGTTCAATGCCGTTACTGGTAACGGTTGTAGTTCTAATAAATCTGAAAAGCAAATGAAAAATATATAGAAAATTACTTAGAAATAAAAAGTACAACTCATTTTTTTTTTGTTTCGGGATACATAAGTAAAGTTATTTTTTGTGATTGAATTGCCAGTGTTTGTCTTGAAAAGGCCTTTACAGATTCCCCGGTCTTGAGGTGGCCGAGTGATGGCACTTAGCCTAAACCTCGTTTAAGAGTAACTAAGGTCGAGGTCTCCCTCAGGAATTTTCTCAGGATTGAAAGTAAAACCATATTACGGTTTACTAGAATACATTTATCGTTGGTTTCCGACACCAAAATCTCCGTTTAAAACCTATTTTTATCTCTCTTTTGTCAAAGATAATGACAGGAATGACGATATATTTTGTACAGAGATTTTGGTCTCCCATGTTTAAGACACGTTTAAGAATATTATTATAATCTGTTTTTTTTTAAATAGTATGAAAGAGATAGCAATAATATAGTAATACATGTAAACCAACGGTGTAACCTCACTGAAAATGAGTATACCTGTATGTGGAGGATGTGTTTCAGGTAATATAAGATGTTGGAATGTTAACGGTAGAACGCTTTCTGAACCCAGCCATCTGTAAAAATACATATTAAAAATTATATGTACAGGTACATATATAACGATTTTATATAAAAATAAACTTAATTAGTAGCCTATGTGTTGTTCCAGACTATCTACATCTATGTCAAATTTCATTGAGAACCGTTGAGCTGTTTTGGAAATGCCTTCTAACAAACATTCATCCATCCATCCAAACATTCGCATTTATAATATTAGTAAGACTAGTTATTGCCCACGACACCGTGTGCGCCGAATGAAAAAAAAACTTAATTAGTAGCCTACGTGTTCTTCCAGACTATGTTCCACATCTATCATCTGGAGACACCTTCAAACAAATATTCATCCATCCAAACTTTCGCATTTTAAAATATTAGTAAGATAAGATAGTAATATATTTATGTTACCTTTCAGATGTGGCCCGAATATAATATTGAGGCGGTAATGGCTCCGATATAGGAATTGTTATGACCAACTCTTGTGGTTCCCTTGTTATTACCTAAAATTGAAATTAAATATTTTAAACTATTACAATTTGAATCTATTATTTGTCTAATAAAATATTAAAATTAAATAGCAATTAATTTCAACAATTTTAATTTTTATCAAAATATTTTATGCAATTTGTATAACCAAATATTTGCTATTAATAAAATAAAAGGATGACTTGATTTTAAAATACATGAAAAAAAAATTTAAGAAATATTTATTTACCTGCTTTTTAGTAATAAGAAAGTATTCGTGGTAATACATAATATCAGTGTCGGGATCTTCAACCCAGATCCAAAACGCTTCAGGCGCTTTACCGTGATATTTGTCGTTCCATCTACACAAAGAAATGTACATACATATGCTACGTGTTAACTAATTTAGGACCTGAGACAGTTTATAATCTGACTAGGCATAATGTAAATAAAAATGACAATTTTGGATATTAAGTTTCTTATTAATAAACAGTTAAAATCAAATCGTAAAATTAAGAACTGATATTCAACACTTCAATACAATCATGCTTAATCTATAGTAGGGAGACAAAGTGGGGATTTTTGCGTTTACTTGAACAAGGCAGTTAAATATAACTGAGAAACCTTTCACCCAATCGTGTAGTAAAATAAAAAAATCGAGATTAGTACATCGTCAGGATACTAAGTTTAAAAAAATCGATTGTTAAAAATTACCTTACGCGTCAGTTTGAGACAGGATGAGTTAATTACATGCAATAAGAAACCCCGCTTCGCCTCCCCTTACTAATCACTTAAGTCATTTTTTTTTCAGTATTAAAATATGTAAATTTTTTGTAAGAAACTTACCTGAAATTAGGCGTTATAGTTAATCTTATTCTGAGCACAGTTCTGGTGATGGGATGTAGTGAGGCTTCCATTTCGAGAAGAGGAAATTCATCAGCACATTTCTTCATATGACGTGCTGTTTTTGGGTTTCTAAGCAAGTCGCCTGTGTAAATATTACTTAACATTTAAGAAAGTTTTTTATTTATTATTAATAGGGTTTTTATTATAGTACTTTTTGACTATAATAAATAATGAGGTATAATAATGAAATGATTAAATGAATGTCGTATGAAAAAGTTATAAGATTTTCAAAAGTTCAAGACAAAGTTCTCGTAATCGAAACATGCAAACAAAGGATACAGTCAAAGAATAAAATTTGCTTCCCATTTAGACTTGATTAACCGTTGATTTATAAAACCAAAATCTCTGTATAAAACATATCGTCATCCCTGTCATAATCGTTTACAAAAAAATATGTTTCAAACGGAGATTTTGGTCTCAGAAACCTACGGTAAGAGGAATAATTGGTTGAACTAACTGGCTGTCATCGTAGAACTATAGTCAAGTCAATTATAAACGACATCAAACCAGGCGAGCAAAAAACTAATTTATAATAGCTCACTAGTGCTAACTTGTCAATATAAAAAAAAAGTTACAAGATCAGTACTATCATGTCATTTTTTTTTAATTGTATGACATTTTCTATGCCCTTATTGATTTGACATATTTTCTAACAGAAGTAACGATAGTAGCGTCTCTCTCTCTCTCAAGAGAATGAAAAAGATAATTGTAATGGGTAGGAAATTAACGTCCTCAACTATACATACCAAGTTCCTGCCACTCCATATCTCTAATCTGATCAGGTTTCAGCATTGGGTACTCGATGTGCCGCAGTATCTCGTTGGGAAAGCAGTTGAACTGTCGCATATCATTGTAGAAATCCCACTGCTGTAGTTCAAACATCTTCGCCATTTTGAGATATAATCCCGCCATGTACGCGTTGTTCTTACGTAATGTTATCTCAAATAAAGCTCGCACTATGCGGACTGCGTTCTGCAAAGCGATTTTTATGTTTAACGTAAATGTTTTGGCAGTGGAAACACAAACAAAATATTATCTGCGCGCTATTAATACTTATAAGCTATGAAGTGGAATAAACGGACAAATAGTTTTTGAGTAATCCATAGGAAATATGAATATCTTTATTCAAGTATCTACTTTTTTCCATTCTCTAGGGAGGGGTATCCGCCTATTGGGCCCCTCTTCTGAAGACTCCCATATTTTATGTGACACAGTTTACTTTAGAAAAAAAAACGTCGAAAAACGCGATATTACAGTAGAAACAGACCCTCGATATCGGTTTAAACAATGTATCTGTTATAAAAACTAGATTGATAATTAGGCATGAATATTGCCGATCCCTTTGATGTCATTATAACCGGTTTTGTCCGTAATTCTAAAGTTTTCAAATACATTTGAACCTAGATACGCGAGAGTCCATAGGACAGCGATTTTTTCTCGCTTATCCATGTTGTTTTTTATAAATATGTTCTTATAAATATAAATGTACCTTACAAATGTAGTTCAAATCTGACTGCAACGATGATCCATTGACGCGTCCGCGAGAGAGATACGTTTGTAACAGTATGTTAATCTTCCAATGTATATCTTCAGGCGGATCTTCGATGCGCAGCTCGCAGTACTGATCTTTGAGATTCCATAGTTCTGTTAGTTCTTCTTTTCTTACCTGTTATATATTCAAGAGAAGAAATATAAGAAAACTTGTCCTACTTTTCTGTTAAGAGTTACGTGTGGAGTAACAATCCATTTACCCCATCTATTGGTACAAAGGGTAAACGGCCTAGTTATTGGCCATTCTACAAAAAGGTACAAAATTTACTATAGTAATACACAATCTTACCTTTAACTGTTGGAAATCAGAGCATCGTGTGAGCATCTCTATGACGTAGCCTTGTGTCATAGACTTGCGCACCATAGAGTTGAACACTTCCATCGTCTCGCACGTTATGTAGTAGTGGCTGGCTGTGCGGCCAAGATCTAAAATAAAACTTTTATCATGAATTACACATACAAACATTATTATTATGAAACTATATAATCTTTTTATATACACACTTTTTGTACATTTTAAAACATTAAAAAATCAATTGTCTAAGCACCATTATATAGATACATAAGAAACATACATACGCATTCAATAAACTGACAATTATCATGTCCCTGGGAAATTAATGGTGCAATCACCCCAATTCGTTACCATATTTACAAGTCCGAGGTAAATTTGAAAAGCTTGTAAATGCCTATGTATTCTTATATCATCAGCTCACTGTACGTCCCCACCGAGGGGCTCGGAGCCTACCCTAAGTTAAGGGTGATTAGGCCATAGTCAACCACGCTGGCCAAGTGCGGGTTGGTTGACTTCACACATATCTTTGAATTTCTTCTCAGATATGTGCAGCATCACGATGTCTTCCTTCACCGTAAGAACGTCGGATAAATGAACATATGTAAATCGGAAATCGAAAAACACATTGGAACATGGCGGGATTCGAACCCAGGACCTGCAGATTGCAAGTCAAGTGCTTAAACCCCTAAGCCACCGACGCTCCTATGTATTCTTACTGAGTCCTAAATCCAACATCCATTCATCGGTACATTAATTTAGACCACACATTTGCATTTATAATATTATTAAGATATCAAACTGACCAGTAATATTAAGATCTCCAGTACGCTCGTTATATCTCAACATGAGTGTGCGGTCCAGCTGCATGGCGGCCGCTGTGATCAGCTCGCGACGCTTCGTCTCCAGCATCGGCTCCTCTTGCACATCGCTGTATGTCAGCCCGTACACCTGACAGATACACACATAGACCCATGTAAAATGAGTTACATCTGTTACGAGAACTCATAAGAAGATCTCATGAGTCGCTTTAAAAGATCCGAGATTCCTTTTTCACTTAATCAATAGCAAATCACATGTATAGAGGTTTTCAAATATCTTAGCGGCTCGGAACACAATGTTAGTTGTAGCGTAGATGTTTGTGAGAGCACTGCGCAGCTCGCATTTGTCCTCGAGCCGTCAATAATGTTAGTGGATAAAGTATTAATTCTATACCTCTTGATAAAAAACAGTTACTTACTTGTGGATTAATTCTCATTCGAACGAACAAGTACGTGTAACTCAACCATTCGACGGCTTCATCGATATTTGTCACAGTCCCAAGAGCGACCTGAAATAAAAACAATATTTAAAATATCTTAGAAAAATATACTGAAATAGGTATAAAGTTTAATTGTTTAATTTTTTTTGATACTAAATATAAAATCAATAAGGGGAAGGGATTGACTCCTGAAACATAGTACAAGAGCCAAAATATTCACATAACTATGTAAATGAATGTTACAATAAAGTATACACAGTGGTAGAGTCCGCTTTAACAACTTCGCACGAATTGTCCGGGCTCGCCCGGTGAAATACCACGACCACACAGAAGACAGGCGTCAAGTGGAAGCAATTCCGCGTGCAGTCTGATGAGTGTGCGTCCCGGAGGTCTAATTTAGTCCCCTTTCCCTTCCCATCCTTTTCTTTATAAGGAAAGGATGGGAAGTGGAAGTGGGCTATCCGGATGAAAGGAGGCATGGAAAGGGAAGATATTTTCTTTCTGTGCATCCTCTCCTCCGTCGATTAAAGGTAGGCAACGCATATGCAATTGCGTATGTCTATGGGCAACGGTCATTTCGCTATTTCAGCGATTTCAGGTGACTGCTTGTTCGTTTGCCACCTTTTATATAAAAAAAATACAGTAGCCCGTGACTCCGTTCACGCGGAAATAAAAAAAGAAGTAGCCTATGTGTTCTTCCAGACTATGTTCTACATCTATGCCAAATTTCAGCATGATGCAACCATTTTGGAGATGCCATCTAACCAAAATTCATATAAACATTCGCTATTATAACATTAGTAAAATAATAGTACCTCTGCGTTCAAATTATCAGCCAACAGATTGATAAAATTACTTTCTATCGGGAACTGATTGGTCATAGATTTCAAGTAATGCGTCAGTTTGTCGTGCGTTGTGATGATGATGCCGGTACCGGACTTGTCGAACTGCGGCCTTCCTGCGCGACCGAAGATTTGCAGCACATCTAATATACTCAAATCCATGAATGTACCGTGATTCTGATCGTAGATTTCTGTACCCTGAAAAATACAGTGTTTATAAACTCTAGTAAACTCAAACTCTGGCTTCAAATCAACTCAGATTTGGAGTTCAACGCAACTCAAATTATAACTTGATTGGCAAATTAGAAAATCTGTCATGGAGACGCCACAATTGCTTCCTTCGTTACATCAACTAATAACGAGAAGATTTATTTCTATATTTTTCGGCAATTTGGCGAAACTTAAAATTAAAAGAGAACAATAAAGGATAAAGAATATTGTAATTAATATATTTTAGAACTCTCTAGAACACAAATAAATATAGTTTTAATAACATAGTTACCCTTATGATAACAGCGTGTGCGGGCAAGTTGACACCCCAGGCGAGTGTAGAGGTGCATACCAAGACCTTTATATAGCCCTCTGCGAAATACTTCTCAACCATGTTCCTGTGATTATAAAATTTGAGAAATACACTTATTGTTATCAGGGATATCAATTTATAAAACACTAAATGTCGCCCGCGACTCCGTCCGTGCGAAATTAAAAAAAAAAGCTAATTAATAGCCTATGTGTTCTTCCAGACTATGTTTTACATCTATGCTAAATATAATTGAAATCCGTTCAGCCGTTTTGTAGATGCCTTCAAACATCCATCCATCCAAACATTCGCATTTATAATATTAGTAAGAGGTAGCGGTTTGAAAAAGGATGATTTCATGAAAGAGGTATTGAATTTGAGGTGGAGTTTACATCATAGACAGAGAGAGAAGATAAATAAGAAAGACGAGTGATAAAGATGGAAAATGGGTGTAAGAATATCGGATGAACTGACCTGTCACTCCTCAGCATACCAGCATGATGACAAGCAAATCCAGCTGCGAATAATTCACCTAATTGTTTATTAGGACTGCTACTTATAGATTTTTTAGCTTTCAAAAATCCCCCTGTATCTTCCGGCTCAAAGTGTTTTAAATGACCTTTTTTCTGTGCGATTTCTTTTAATATCATAGCAGTTTGATGTGTTGCATTACGCGCGTGAACAAACACCATCACTTGATGACCTTTTTGTACCATATCTACTGCTTTGTCGTAACATATTTCATTCATTGTTTGCATCTGTAATTTATTTTAAAAAATTGATAATTTACTAATTAAATGGTGAAGATAAAATTTTACATGACCTAAGTCTTATGTTAATTGTTTTTATATATTTAACTTTTGTACATAAGAATATTTTTTTTAAATATTAGCTGATTTTTGTGTAAATTAACTAATATTTCTTTAACCATTCCAAATAAGCTCTAAGCTTGTGCTAGGATATGGTTTACGACAATAGTTTCGGGATTCGAACCCCCGACCTCGTGATAGGAAATCCGTCCCTTTAGCCATTAGGCTATTGACGCTTTGTTTTTTGTTATAATTGTACTCCAATATCCTTTTTTTAATTGATTTCAATAATTCGGACAATCTTTTAGTCCAATTTGATTTTAAGATTAACAAACCTGTCTAAGATGTGATCCTCCTCCGCCTCCGACCTCCTTAACACCAATAAACTGCTGCTCCAATGGTACAGGACGGAATCGTGAATCGAAGAAAAATAGTCCAATGTTCGGATTGACGCGTAAAAATCTAAAAAAACGAGATTATATTAATTACTAGTTATCGCCCGCGACTCCGTCCGCGCGGATTTAAAAAAAAACAAAGCCTATGTGTTCTTCCAGACTATGTTCTATATGTATACCAAATTTCATCAAAATCCGTTCCGCCGTTCCGGAGACAATTTCAAACAAACATCCATCCATCCAAACATTCGCATTTATAATATTATAAATACAAGAAATACGTTACGTTTTAGTTCTGATTAAAAAATGGACCCAAGTAATATTCATTTAAATAAAAAAAGTCAAATAACTAACAAATAATTTGATAAAGTATGTGTTTAACAAAAAGTTTGATTATTTATAGTTTTTAATCCTATTAATCAGTATTGTGTGCAAACTTTCATTTCCTACTTTCATCAATCTTTTGTGTTACCCTAAAACTATATTCTAATGAAAACAATTTTAATACTAAACAATGGAACCTTTTATTTACCTGGCAACATCCACATAATTAGGCAATGTAGCAGACAGACCGACAATTCTGATCATATTCTGTGTGGACTCAACTTGGCGCAGAGTACGAGCGACTATCGCTTCCACAATCGGCCCTCTGTCACCATGTAATAAATGGACCTCGTCTATTATTAGTAATTTTACTATAGATGCCAATTCTGTGTCAGCTGGAAATACATTAAATAAGTAAAATTTGATTCATGTTTTAACTAGATGGCGTTGTCCTTAACGTAGTAAGAATGAGTAGAAAAACTTCTCTTTTGTGCACTATAGCAGGGTAAAGATTGTGTGTAGTACTAAATATACTACAGACATACAGAAAATAATGTATTTTATATAAATAGTACACAATACTATATGGACTGTACTCAAATTTCACTTTAAGCGAAATTCACGTAAATATAAACAAGGGAAAACCAGACATGTAATCACTACTTACCATGGGTTTCTGAGACCAAAATCTTTGCATATAACATATCGTTATCGCTGTCATTATTTTTGACAAAACAGAGATAACAATATATTTTAAACGGAGATTTTGGTCTCCAAAACTCACGGTAACAGAAAGCTAAATATTTACTTTCAATGATTTATTTATTTAAAACTAGCTGTCGCCCGCGACTCCGTCCGCGTGAATATAAAAAATCTTAATATATAGATAAGTTAAATAAAAAGCAGCTCTTCAAGGCATAAATTAGAAAAAAACTGAATAAATAGTATCCTATATCCGTCTCCTGGCTCTAAGCTACCTCCTCATCAATTTTCAGCCATATCGATAAAGCCGTTCTTGAGTTATAAATAGTGTAACTAACACGACTTTCTTTTATATATTTGTATAAGATATTTCTTGACCCTTACTTGCTCCTTTCCTTGTAACGACATCCCACTTTTCAGGCGTAGTAACAATCATCTGAGTTTGTTGAACTTCAGTCTTAGTTAACTTCATATCTCCGGTGAGTTCTTTGACCGCGATGCCGAGACCGCGCAGACGTTTGCCGAAACTTGCCGTCATTTCTGAAGCCAACGCTTTCATTGGTGCTATGTAGATTATCTGTTAACAAATCGTACTAATATTGTAAATGCGAATGTTTGGATGGATGGATGTATGGATTGATGGATATTTGTTTGAATGTATATCCAGAACGGCTGCACGAATTTAGCTGAAATTGAGCATAGATGTATGAAAAAAATATGACAAAACTAGCTATCGTACGCGACTCTATCCACACAGAATAAAAAAAAAACGTAGTTGCCTATGTCTTCTTCCATATTACGTTCTACATCTATGACAAATTTCATCAAGATCCCTTCCGTTTTGGAGATATTTTTTCAAAAACATCCATCCATCATAACTTACTTTAAACTTATTCTTCATAATAACATCATTCTCTATATGCTGTTTGATCTGATGTACGACAGTGAGGAGAGCGATGTTAGTCTTGCCGGCGCCTGTGGGCGCACAGATCAGCAGGTTTTCATTTGTATTGTAAGCTGTCTGGAACACTACGGACTGGATACGATTCAACTCTTTTATATTCTCAAAAGCCATTTGTCCAATCTGTAAAAAACAAGTATTGCCATTATAAAAAAATCAATTTCAGTAATTAATATTTAATTCAAAAGAGAAATATAGCAAAAATATCGTCATCCTTGTCATTATCTTTGACAAAACAGAGATAACAATATGTTTTAAAAGGGGATTTTGGTCTCAGAAGCCCACTATAAATTCGGAATAATACCTCGTCTAGTTCAGATACAGGTACACGCTTGTTTCCAATCTGCAAAGGTGCTGGTTCATTTTTAGGTATAATCACTTCTTCATACTCCTTGATATCTTTCCTTATAGCATTCTCAGGTAACATTAATTTCATGCCCGATACAAAACCTGAGAAAAAAATAAAAAAATTGGAAAAATTAAAGGTGTCTTTAAACACCTGACAGATGTGAAAGATTTTTAATTAAATATTGAAAATCTTAGTAATATTATAAATGCTAAAATTTAGATAGATGAATGTTTGTTACTATGTATGTACATATACATGTATCTTTTTTTTTCCAGAGAGGAATGCTTTATGCATACTCCGCGCCTTATGTGGGATTCTCCTCCATAGCGGAGGCATACCCACTAAACCTCTCTGTTCCTCCAACGCATCGGGACGGGGCCACGGACACACTTTCGCTCTCGTCCGCGGCCCATGTATGTATGTATCTGCAGAATAACTCAATAGATCTCTATGAAATTTGGCATAGATGTAGATCATAGTCTGGAAGAACACATAGGCATTTATTAAGTTTTTTTTTATTCTACAATGATGGAGTCTCGGATAAAAGCTAAGTATACAGTAATCAAATACATAATTTACTAAGAAAATCAATATTATTTAACAATATACAAATCAAGCTTCCTCACATCATATTTCTTTCAAATTTGGTATTTATGATTTGTAAAAAAGTGCAGTAAATATAAAACTCACCAGCTGAATTCTTCGCATCAATTGATGAATCGTAAACATTTGGATATTGAACTTTAGTCTGAAAATATGATATTTTCTGCAATATTGGATCTATTTTGCTTTTTGATGTAGAAAATGGTACGACAGGTTTCGATAGTTCAGCTATTCTGTAAGTGAAAATAAAAATGTTACTAATATTATAAATGCGAATGTTTGGATGGATGATGAATGGATGTATGGATGGATAGATGTTAATTAGAAAATATCTCCAGAACGGCTGCATAATTGAATTTTGGCATAGATATAGAACATAGTCTGAAAGAACGCATAGTCTAATAAAGTTTTTTTTAACCAAGATATTTTTTGACGGAGAGATTGCAGCTAGTCTTGTCACTTAGGGGCTTTTAATCCTAACTTAGACCGCGCATTTAATCCTTATACGCTCTGTAAAAGTTTAAATGTAGAAATTAAAAGTTATATTCTACCTTTTAGCTCTCAATTGAGCAATATTAAGCTCATGTTCTTCTTCCTCGTCTTCTACTTTCTTAACATTCTTAGCTTTCTTCTCTTCTTTCCTCACAAGCTTTGCTAACATTTTCTCTTGTTCAGACAACACGGAAACTTGGCATAAATATTGTGGCATTTTGTTTTCTGGCAGCATGGCTGCAACTGTTAAGAAAAAAATTATAAAAAAATAAAATCGGTTACATATAAGCTGTACTTGAACCCACGCCTATTATATAAAAGAAAATAGCAATAATAAATACATAGTATCTTACTAATATTATGAATTCGAAAGTTTAGATGGATGGATGTTTGTTTGAAGGTATCTCCATAACTTCTGAATACAATGACATTTGGCATAAATATAGTCTGGAAGAACACATGGGCTATTTACGTTTTTTTTTATATTGCAGGAAAAGAGTCGAGCGCAACAACTAGTACAATAATATATGTGTTCATTCTTTTTCATACATATATTTTTATTTGTAATGCACTATACCTAAATATGCAAACATACAATTTGGTTGTAACAAGTAAATGTAAAGTTCAATATATTACTTACTTTCAGATATCGTCGGCTGCACTGGAGGTGCTTTCAGACTGTCAATAATTTCCTGTCTATGTTCCAATATCTCTTGAATGAATTCAAATTTATCAAATCCGAGTAACTCAAAGAGATCATTCTGCATATCATCATTGCTTCTCGGAGAGTTCAGTAATGTGATAATAGACTGAAGTATATCAGCACTTGACATTCCTCCATCATTATCATATAGACCTTGAACTTTTGTCTCCAGCCAGCTTTTTCCAAACTACAAATTTTAGATAATCTTACTATCTTACTTCTTACTAATATTATAAATGCGAATGCTTATATAGATGGATAGGTGTTTGTAAGAAAGTATCTCTAAAATCCTTTTGCAATCAACTGATTTTGTTGAAATTTGGCAAAGACGTAGAACATAGTCTGGAAGAACACATAGGCTACTTATTAAGATTCTCATTCATTCCGCTAGTAGAATCATATGCCAACTAACATCCATGTAAAGCCTTCCAACAGAAAGAGTTACATCTTATATCACCATATTTATAACATGTGACTGTATGCAATGGAGGGGTTGATTTGTTAATCTTCTTACTAGAATACATAATAATATTTTTTTCGTCTTTACCTAAAGTAATGAAGGCTTGTCCCGGACAATTGGAGCTTTACACAATTGGATATTTTTTTTAAATATTTAACACTAATATAGCCTATGTTACTGGGGAATAATGTAACATTTTACTTATAAGAATTTTTATAATATAATAATATAATTGGTTTTTCCTATTTCTAATAATAAGTGTGCATAATTTTGTATACAAAAAATCATGCATAAATATATATTTACTTACTTTAGACACTGACAAAGGTTTTTCAACACTCCTGCTTTCTGGTTTAACTCTATCTTTAGTATATTTCATTGAAAAATCAGTGACAAATGAACTGGAAACTGCTGGTTTCTTCGTAAGCTTAGGTAGTGGTTTCTTAGCAGGCTTATATGGTATATATTTACATTGTATATGATCACCCCACATTTTTATATTCTCTTTATCAGATTCATTTATTTCTTTTCTAATGTATTCTTTAGTACTTTCCTTTATATTACTTGATATGTTTATAACAATCTAAAAATATTAATAAATTACTTAATCAATTATCATTACTACTTTTACTACATACTAAAGTAAACATGTGACTACACTAACTGTGGGTTTCTGAGAATAAAATCCTGGTTTAAAATTTGTTTTCACAGTTTACCGAGGATAATGCCTGGGATGGTTTGTTTTATACAGACATTTTGGTCTCAGAAACCAATGGTGAATGTAGTAATACTATAAAATTATTTCTACATAATAGTTACCTGACAAATTTTGTTAGCCGTAGTTGACATAACTGTTCCAAACATTTGTCTTAATTGTGATAGATGTTTTAACATAACAATATCACGGTCTAAAAACATCCTAAGTGTGAGAACTGCAGCATCTTCTATTATCTCATCAGGCTGTTCTCCAGTTAGAAGTTTGCAAGATTCCTTTAATTCATCTAGATATTTTAGAACAGAGTCTGGCTCATTTTCTTTCACATAGTTGTAGATATCTGCATAACTTTTATACCTTACAAAGAGATATGTTTTGATTACACAACAAAATGAAATATATACTACTATTGCAGAAACAATAGCCCACAATAGTTTAATTAAGAGAGAGAACGTTAAAGTTTTTCAGTATATATATATATATATATATATATATATATATATATATATATATATTATTATTATTTTTTTTTGAAAATGGAAATTTATAAACAAAAAATAAAAGAAATAATCCTTACTTTTGATGACTTTTTTCATGGACTGTCTGATTGAAATTCTGTATATCTGGAGGTTTCAAGCAGCGCGGTTTATCCAGCTGGGTGTGTGCTCTGAGAGCTCTCGTTATACGAGGTAGTTCCAACATGATTTTCTACTGAAATTTTTAGTACAGTTTTTACGATTGACACTTATGATATTTGATATAACTGTTTCATATTGTATGACACTTTTCATATATGCTAAATTACTTTAAGCTGCTAGAGAATCGATTAAAATAATTGTGTGAAACAGGCTAATAAATATAAATTTGTAGACTAATGAGTACAAAGTTTCGATTTCACAATAAAATTAAGAAAAAAACGGGTACGGTACCTATCCGTTCGGCTTATATTGTATATAAAGATGTGGATATTGAATTACTTGTCGTTAATGTTTTTAACACAATCACATTTTTATAAAAGTATATTAAATTCACAAAAAACTACACTTTGTTGGTGATACCGACATAAGTGATGTCACTTTGACAGTTGATATGTTGACAGCTGTTTGCGTTTTATATTTCGTTCTACGTAAAAAAGTACTTTTCTTTTAATATTTGATAGTAATTAAAATCGCTGCGCTTCACATCTATAGTATATTTACATAAACTAAGCCATACTACCTTAGAGTCACGCCAGGTAAAGTTTCGCATTGTCAGAATAGGTTTTTTATTTCAACTTATCATAAGACATAAATGGAATGCGGTAGCACCACACCTTTTATTATCCTTTAGATAGGAAAAATATTTCCATAGCTTTAGGGTCTCCAAAATATTGTAAGAATGATATCCTAAATAAGGTTCTAATTTAAATAAACAAAAAATATTTTCTATTGGATCCTTTATTTAGTAACCAGTTTTAGTCGAACATTTCAATCACATCTTTCCTCTAATAGGTATTTGTAATATATTAAATATAGAACTGTAGCAATATAGACGAATGACGAACGATTAAATGCAGACAATTGTTATAACAATATGATAGGATTTATCTGTGATTAATATTGCGTTACTTCTATTATATTCTAACAACAGATTTAACAAAATTATTTAATACCTTAATAGCATTACACATTCAAGCAATAAGTAAAGCATAGTATTAAATACTTTTAAGTAAAAAATACATAGGCCATTACATTTACAATTACAAAGACTTATGTCAGAATTTTACAAAAATAACATTGAAATGCTCGGACAGACTTTTCTTAAAAACTAGAAATATTACAAAGTTTACAATAGCTGTATTTATATTTATAGTTAAGATGGTGTAAACCAAACATGCTCAACATTTTTTCAATAAGATCAGCAAAGATTTAATTATTTACAACTAAGGAGGATATATACACACTTTATAAATTACATGTACACACCAAAGTTAAAGAGATCAATAATATTTTTTGTTTTTTATTTTAATCCAAATAAAAATGCTGCTAATTTAAAAAAAAACATTACACCTTACTATCTCTACTGTACGAAGGAATCATTACCAAAGTCCTTTATTCTTTTTACTTAATAGAAGTTTTGTTGCAAGAAAAATAACACTCAAACAATATCAAATATTGTAGGAGTGTCGGCAGTATGTTATTTCTTTTTTCTCTGCTCATACTCGATGGCTCGCACTTCAGAAATAATCTGTCTCTCTCTTGTCAAAATTCCATCTAACTGATCTGTGAATGCATCAAAAGAGAATTTTGTCTCAAACCTCTTCCTACCAGCTTCACCAAGCTTGTCCACCAGCTCTGGGGCCCAGATGAGCTTGCACATTGCCCTACCAAAGGATTCACTGGTTGGTTCACACAAAAATCCCGTAACATCATTCACTATGGTCTCTGTAGGACCACCGCTGTTGACTGCAATGACCGGCTTTTTGTAATACATAGCTTCCAATGGTACGATTCCAAAATGCTCATTAGATGGTGTATAAATTAAAGCCTTACAATGATAAAGCAATGAAACTTTTTCTGCATCACTTGGAGATTTCATGAATGTGACTTTATCTTCAATATCTAATTCAGCAACAAGATCGGTCAATTCAATATAATGCTCCATGTTCTCTAAGTTAATGGGATCAAACCCACCAGCCATTATCAAATGTACCCTGTTCCAATCAGATTCACTCAATGCATGTTTTAAATACTCCAATGCTTTCAAAGCCAATTGCAGATTCTTCTTCCTCTCATATCTATTTATTGACAAAAAAATAAACTTATCTAATCCCACTGGTACAACTTCTTTTAATGGCTTTGGTACAGTAGTATTAAAGTAATCAGTGTTGATAGATGGGTAGCATATATCGGGCATGTCTTTGATGTTTTGAAATGCATCCTGGTATACTCTAGCTGTGTACTTACTATTCACAAGAACCTTATCAGCTCGAGCTGTGGTAAGCTCTTCTAACCAATTCAAAGGAGCTCGATATATTTTTTTCAAGAATCCTCCTTCTGAAGTCAAAAGTTTGTCGGGATGGTGGCAATAGAAAACTATTCTAAATGGTCCTCTGGCCATTTTTAGGAAAGGGATACACAGTGATATGAGGTCACAGAATATCAGAGTTGGTTCTTCAACTGGTATTACATACCAGGCCAAATAAGCAGCGGCGTATACCATACGAACATATGCACACGCCGCTTTAAACCTACCAAAAATAGAACGAGGGATCCAATCGCCCACGACAGTTACAGGAAATGTACCGTTCCTAGTCTCTGCGAAACAATGAGTAGGGTCATGATGATTAGTATAGAACGCGACTTCATGTCCTTTGCTCTTGAAGGCCAACGCGGCATCCAACACAAGGCGTTCAGCCCCACCTATACCCAAGTCCGGATGAAGAAAAATTATCTTCACCATTTTTATAATAACAATAAAAGAAGAATAGACTCAAAATCTATAAAAATCACACTAATACTTAAATACAAAATATAATCAAACACGGCATTACAAATGTCATCAATGTGTTTTTGCTTTGACATTGACAGTAGCTTGCTTGTTGCTTGACATCAAAATTATACGGAGTATGAAAAGATATTCGAGAAAAAAACACCACAGGATTTAAAAAGTAAAAAAAATATATTGCGAAATATACTGACCTATTCCAGATCAGTTCTGATTTAGTTTATCTTTTAATTAAATTTGGAGAGAGTGGAGGATATTAAAACCTCCAAACATGCCGAAACTCTCCATTATAAATTTTGGTTAAAATTGACAATCTTTTTTTTTGTCAAATTACTAAGAAATTTGCATAGAGTTTTAACAAAGGTTCACCGTTATATTTAAGTAATAACCACATGAATTTACCATTGTTAAGATATACATGGAAGTTGTCAGCAACTTTTTATAAATAAAAAGTTGGAAATTTAAAGGCCAAATTGTATTGTAAATGCTTTATTTTCAAGAGATCATCAACATTTTATAAAACTGAATCTATGTGTGCAATTTATTGTGCTGATATGCCTAATTTATAAACTATTAAATTAGGTTACAAATTATTTCCATACATGCAACTTAAACTAGAAATACAAAACATTAGTGTTCTAAAATTGATCTAGATTTAGATACTCTCTTGTCTTTACTTAGAGCTCATCTCTTCTCTCTATTTTGACAAGATCTACATGAAATGTTAGAGTTGCCGACTTCGGAATTTTAGGAGGTGACCCATTTTCTCCATAAGCTAACTCTGGTGGAATAACTAATTTTCTTTGTTCCCCTTCACACATGCCAATCAGACCCTGATCCCAGCCTTTGATAACTTGCCCCGAACCTAGTGTAAAAGTCAATGGATTTCCCCGAGGTATAGAACTGTCAAATTCTGTACCATCTTCCAGGGTACCCTGAAATATATAAATATTTTGTAGGACACAAGATATTTGTAACAATTAACATTTAAAATTTATAAATGTATATAATATGGTATTAATATACTATTTAGTGAATCAGCTTTTGTTTGTCAACTTTAATATGTACCAATACTTCTTATTTCATTTCTCGTCTTTTTAGTAAGCGAGGAAATTGACATTCCTTTAACTTATAAAGTATTAAAGGACAACAACTTAATTTAAGAAACTTGCTTGGAACATTGTTCAAACATTCATATTGGAATATATATACATACGGTGTAATGCATATGTAACAAATCTCCTTTTCTGCTCTTAATTGGACACTCTGATGGTCTCTTCTTCACTCCAATCTGCAACTTTTTTGAGGAACTACCGATAACAACTTCAGAGATGAAACCCATGAAGATTAACACGAAAAGGAGTATTTTGCAAACATTAGCTATTGCAGTCTTCATTGTGTAATAAAATATTTCCTTTTTTGGTACTGCTTATTATTTCAAATTACGCTTTGAGTTCGAATTCTGAGTGAAATTCTATATTTTATAAAGCAGTGCAGTATAACGGGTCAGATAAGAAAATGACAGTGACACTTGATGGCACATTCAAATTGTGACACGACTACTTATCAATAAAACAATATTGAAATACTGTAGATAAAAAATCAAGAAATGCAAATATTTAACTTAGGTAGCACATTAATTTCCCATGTTATCATATCCTAGAAGAACAAATCTACTTTATCACTTTGTAAAGCATAGCATCCGAGAGTGGACAGGGGTTGCGAGTGCTGCCCAACTTTTTCGCCTCGAAAGGGACAAGGGAAAATATGGAGAACTGATCGCCAAACTTCGCTAGTCGGAGAGGCACCTCAAGAAGAAGAAGAAAAAAGCATAATATAAGCCTAGTATTTTATAAACTTAGGATTTTTAACAGATTTTAATTCATACAAGAAAACCAAACGTCAAAAATACTCTGATGTTAACCTGTCAAATGTCTAGGTGTCTTGCGGCTTCCACTGTTTTGTAAATAAACAATTTTGCTTATGTGAAAATGTCTAAAACTTTGTTTTATCGAAAATATCTTCTTAACAGAGTGTCTGTAGGTAAAGATGTAATTGATTATTTGGAAAATTTATTGGCAAGAGATGAAGAGTCTCTTAACCATTCCTTTCATAAAGTTATGGTGAGTGTTTTCATTTATATCGTTCGTTGGAACAGAGGAGTTTTATTGGCCGGAGAATCTTTTAATGTATATTATTTCCTACTTTTTTAAGCCGGCAATAGATCCGACCTTACAAATGTTTGGAGTTAAATTGGATGTAATCAATCCTAAAGCCCTAGGAGCATGCATGTTAATATGTTTTTTCATCCTTGATAAGTAATATATTTCTTTTATCCAGGTCCATAACTGGTTAGAAGATGATGTGCAACTCTACAACACAATTAATGAATACTACAATGTTTTATTTGTTCCTGTTGAATATGCATCAAAACAAAACATTAGTTCCTTTTACACCAGCAGCCTTAGTTTTGTCACGAAAATTGTAAAGATGGATTTCATGTTCCCATACAGACGAAACATGTTTAATATTGATATACTTTTTAATGATAAGTCATCATCAGATTGCTTTGAAAGCAGAATTACAATAGAGGAGATTGTGTCTTCAGTTGTAAGCAATAGATTCAATAATAAAATGGAATTAGATTTGTCAAATTTTTGTAATGATCCAGGTTTGTGTTACAAAATAATTCTTGTTCTTTAAATTTCTCTCCTAACAATGTTAATAAACTTATAAAATAATGTTTTTTATTATTTTACAGAATTTGCCAAAAGAAAAATTAATTTTTATAAAATAGATCTTTTAGCAAATTTTAAAATACTCATGCTAAGAATGGGACGTGATGTGAAAATGCTGAACTTAAGCAATAATCAGTTAAAGTATGCAACATTCATGATTCTATAAATTATATAGCAATTTTTTTTTAATCCTTAGTCATAAATAATATGAAGATTTTTTTGAATTCCTTTCAGTCAAGTACCATTAGAAATATTGAATTTCTTTACTAGGGGAGACATGATTGGGCTCAATTTGAGTAATAACAATGTAAGTTATTCCTTAACAACACCTTGTATTTGTCTTTAGCGAATATCACCAGCTTCTTTCGGCATGCAAAAAACATTTCTTAATTTTAACAATTGAATCCTATGGATGTTGCCATGTAACATAAGCATAGCATTGTTCTGTGTGTTTTATTTAATTATATAAGTTTTATATTTTAGATTCCATCAATTCAAGAACAGTTCAGAGTGGGTAGTAAAGTAGAGCACCTCTGGTTAGAAGGAAATCCATTATGTGAAGAATTGGAAGTCAATGATTACATCAAAAAGATACTCATAAAGTTTCCGAGGCTATTGGAATTAGTAAGTAATAAAAAATGTATGGGATGAATTTAGCCTATAGTTTTAGAACATTCAACGAAGGGTCAATAACAGAAATAAATGGAGTTTTTACATTTATATTTTTTCAGGATGGTGTGAGAATAAATCAACATGGTATCATATACCCTTTCTTCAAACACTTTGTGATATCATCGCAAAAGAAAACCAAAATGGTTGTGGAAAAATTTGTAACAATGTATTTTAATCATTACGACTCAAAGCCACGTTCAAAGATTAATATGTTTTACGATATGAATGCTGTTTTAACTATTTCCACTGATTTCTCTGGTGAGTTTCCATTTATACAACAGTGCAATGTATTTTTTACCTATGATGGACAGAGGAAGAGACATCAAAATACAGTTGATTGATTAACAAGAGTTTTAGGGACCATGATATTTTTCTTGCTTATTCAGGCGAAAATAAAATGTATTTATCGTTCCTATCTCATCCTTTTAATAAAATGATGAGAAAGCAAAAAGGATAATGTACAAATTAGGTTTCTGTCTCTTCTAAATTAAGACACTGCCTATACATCACAATAATTTAATATACATAACTTTATAATCAAATTGGCTAATAAAATAATTTACAGATTACGAAGAATTGGCAATGCCACATTATGAAAAATGCGTCCGTAACATCATGCATCCTGTTAAAAGGGCAAGAATAGAAAATAACAAGTGCATATTTAAAAGTAGGAATAGCATTACAAAGTTATTTGAACAATTTCCCGAGTCCACACATGATGTTAACACATTCAATGTAGATGTTTTGAAACATGATGTAAGTTTTAACTTCTATGCTTTTAATTTTTTCGTAAAATGGACTTACCAAGCGAGTCATTGGCATTAAAGGTGTTAATTACTGTTTTTCTTTAAATAAAATCATTATTTGCAGAGTGGACAGATGCTTTTAGTTATAGATGGAATTTATAAAGAACAGAATACTGTATTAGAAGGTATATACAAAGAAAGTTATACAGGTGATGCAGAAAATAAGAAAAACATATCAGAAAACTACTTGCAGTTCCGTAGAACATTCATTTTCAATATACATACAGCAAATGGCATATCTTTATACCATATAACAAATGAAATGTTCACTATATCATTGGCAGATAGGGAAAGAAAAGATAACAGTTTTAAGGTAAATTACTTTAGAAATTAAAAATCAAACTATAAATTACTGAAGTCTGGTAGAAACTTGCAAAATGTAAATGACTACAGTCTAATTCAACTTTAACCTGTATACAATCCTTTTAACTGTCATCGAGGCAGTGAAAATGGTGCTTAAATTCATCATTAGTTCTACTACCTGTGGATGTTCATAGAAACAGGTGTAGTTTAACTCTTGTCAGTTGTCAAAGATTTCTAATATTCTACTATAATTATACTAATATTATAAATGTGATTGTTTAGATGTATGGATGTTTGTTTAAAGGTTTCTTCAGAACGGCTAAATGGACCTTGATGAAATTTGCCATACAAATAGAACATAGTCTGAATGAAAACATAGGTTACTAATTTTTTTTTAATTCCTTTTGAAAGGAGTCGTGGGGACCGCTAATACCATAAACATTGAGATTTTTTTATATTAATTGTTATTATTATTTTAGTTTCCTATAAGAAAAATGAATGACTTGAGCCTTATAAATCCTGATAAAGCTGAAATAAAGCCAATTAGTAAAGCTTTTAAACATTTAACAATGTTGAAGAAATCTGAAGTAGAAAGGTAAGGTTACTGCTTTGTTTCTATTATGTTAACCAATGTCTTGTAAGTTTATGAAATGACTAGGCATAATATACTATTATATTACAAAAATAATGCCTAAAATTTATTATTGATCTAAACCGTAAATTGACATTATTTATGTATTTTTTTTTGTTTAAATTAAACCCAGGGCCGATGAAATTAATTATGTAGTACTTGAATTGTTTTTAATGTTACTAATGAATACTAAAATATCATTCTATCCAGGCGACTAAAGGCCTACAATTGGAACATAAATCTCGCCTTAAAGAAATTTATAGATGATGTAAGGAATGATATCATCAGCACTGAACATATAGAAGAAGAAAACAGTTTTTCTGATGTATCATCAGACTTTGATTAAGTGAATAAAGTTTTTTTTAAAACAAATATTCTTTTTTCTATTTAATACAAATATAATTTATATATTACCATGATATTAAACTGCAGAACTGTTTTAAAATATGTCTCTATTTTGCAGAGACAATGTAACCTGCATTAGCCAGAATCGATGGTTACCAAGGTTGTCTAGTGTGAGTGGTCAAAGATTCAGTTATGGAGGTTTCTCGCTTATTCAAGTTTAATTGTATAAATGTGTTGATAGTGTCCAACCGACCCTTAGGGTCTAATATTATCTATCACTTAAAACATTAGTATAAAAACACATTATAAACTTTAGAAAACAATTTTACTCATTTATTTACAATACCCATACCTTAATTGCAACTTCTTAAGCCTATATTAGTATTTTTTACTAGTTTTTCTTATCAGAGCCATTCTTTGTTTGTGAGCCTCTGTGATGGCAGCTCGTTTGTATGGCCGTAGTTCATCATTACCAAAACCAGGTATCCACATGTTCCATTGGCGTTCTGCAATAACAAATTAAATATAATAATAATAAATGAATAAATACAGTACTACAAAACAGGTCAACAGCCCACTGCAATCCTTTCTCTCCCCATCATGCTACACCTACTAATGCAAAGTTAATAGCCGGCAAGATATCTGGAAAGTATAATAATCATACCTAATAGTAATTGTACATCCTTGAGCTCAACATTAGAAGAATGTCTGTGTTTAGCAAATGAACAGGCAGTGCCAAGTGATGTGTCAATGAAGTCATCAGCCATTTGTAACATCAAATCTTCTACTTCATCATCTAATTGAACTGTGGGATCAACTTCCCTCACTAATTCTTGAAGACGGGGTTTATTTACTATCTGAAACAATTTACTCATAATGAAAAAGCATGAAAATATTGAAGATTTTCTACTTTCACAATTAATTTGAAGTAGACCTACTAATCGTATGCTGAAAGAAAATATAAGGCTACCTAGAAAATTTCATTTGTTCCAACTAATCAAGGTACTTTAAGTAAATACCTAGGACAACCTGTTAATATAAAGTAATATTCTCTGCAATATAAACAAATGGACAAGAAAAGATTCTACAGTTAGACAAAGATGCGTGACAAGGGCAAGGTAGAAATTCTTATAAATTGTTATTTATCACGTCAAAAATTTTAAATCTGATACAACGATATGTCAAAACTCTCACCTGCGGTGGTTGGTCTCCGCCGCCGCCTTGAATGACTTTCCCGCTAACTTGAGATTGCGTTCCCATCGGACTGTGTTGTGAAGGCGAACTTTGTATCGACGTTGCTTGTATTTGAGGACTATGCAGCGGGTTGTTTACGTATTGGATAGCACTTTGCGGATTCAAATTCCCTATAGAAGGCATGCTTGGGTTTTGTCCTATCGAATTATTTGACATACTTTTCCTACACGCGTATGAAATAAAACGTTCTTGCTAACTTAACATTTAAAACGAATATATTGTGTGCTAAGATTTCAAACTAATGGTCCATGTGATGAAATGTTTACAATTTCTGTTAAAATCACTCAAAACTATTCTTCAACTTAAAACGTCATTTCATTTTCTCAGTTTTCATCTATGGTCTGTGCACAGACTATAGAACCTTTTATGTACTATATGTCAATGTTGCCTAGAGTGAATACACATTATGAAATAATAAATCCAAAAAAACTTTCAAATATCATTTTGACAAAAATGTTTTCAAAGACAGTACTAATAAATAAGATTTCTTAAAACTCCAACATCCCTTTGAATTATTTTAAACCATTACGATGTTCTCGTTTCTTACATTCTCTTGAGTAATTCGCCTTATATAATTTATTCATAGTTGTAGAGGATGTAGTGGATCAGTTTTTGACGTAAATAGCCGCAATTAAAACATTTGTGGATCAAGTAAACCTGTTGCGCACTGTTACAAAATAAAAATTAGAGCAAAGTTAATGCCAAATATTTCTCAAAGAACCCCGTGCCTTAGAGTAGAAGAAAAAGGAATAAATGAGAAACGCAACTGATTCTATGTATTTTATTTTTGATTTTACACCAAAATCTTAAAATGCCTGAGAGCGTGAAATAGACTAAAAAAATTAAGTACATAAATCTTAATTAAAATCAATTGACTTAAAATAAGAGTATACATTACAATTTTGTAGTAACATTGTCAGTCACGGTCACTAAACAACTAAAAACACAAAAAAGGCTTAAAACACATTCATACTCTTAAAAATTGCTTTTAAAATACTGGTATAATAATACAAACATATAAATAATCACAGACCTGCGTGTGAAAACCGAAAAACAGTTACATAGCTTTTGGAATGTCAAATATCGCATAAAATTGCTGTCAATAATAGGCATTTATTTTTTTATAAATGTTCAACAAATTCTGTTTGGTATCTTCTTGTGTTAAAGGTAACTGTATTTCTAAATGTATATATTTATTTCTATTTCTAATTTAATATTCAACATTCATGTTAATCACAAATTTTAATAAACATTATGTAAATTAAATGATAAGCGTAGTTATGACTAAATGACGAAAGATAGAAAATGTATGGTCGCAAAGCGAAATTGGGATTTGCAATTCTAATTTCTAATTAAAAAAAAACTACTTTCACGATTATGTTTATAAACGAAATTATTTAAAAGCAAAAATAGTTCTATTTTTTTCTGTCAAAGAATTAAAAAAAGTTCTGCCAGGTTCCACCGAGATTTGAACTCGGATCGCTGGATTCAAAGTCCAGAGTGCTAACCATTACACCATGGAACCTTGGCATCAATTGCTGAATTTTATAGTAGAATCCATCTTTTAATATTAGCACAAAAAAGTCATTTTATATTTTATACCAAATATTTAGAAAAATAAAACGTCCTCGAAATATAAAATAAAATATACAAAACGGAAATAAGATATGTGCACATTTTTACCTAATTCTCGGCAAAAACTCCTAAACACAACATGCATTCTTGCACAACATAAAAATAAATTACTTAGTGTAAAATTTGTTCTCCGATGAAATTGCTACGTAGCGTGCGGCATGGCATACCTAAAATTTCACCATAAAAACCGAATAAGCTTTTTAGCCTAAATTCAAACTGACGTCTACAGTGTAAATTTGGTTCAATATCAAAGTGCTGAAGTTACGCTAAACTACTTGATCTAATCTTCTGATGTTTGTGCCTTTTTCTCTGGGATGTAGAGGTGATCTGATGGATCCAGCTTCTGCCAATTGAGAGACTTGGATTTGATGGTAACAGGTTCCTAGAAAAAAAAAAGAAAAAAGGTTTTCATAACTATGTATGTACGAATATATTCCCTTACAAATTATAAATACGATTTTTATTCATGCCATTGACATTGATCGAAGCGAAGATGGGAGCTAATAGCTTGTTATCTTTATAGAGCTTCGATATTTAAATCACATTAATAAAATAGCTTAGAAGCCTTAGAACGTGTAGACTTTTGACATATATTTATTTATCACGTGCAGTGCCCGCGACTTCGTCTACGCGGAATTAAAAATGTTTTAAATCAGTTCAGTAGTTTCGACGCCTATTCAGTACAAACTAACAATCAAATCATACAATTCCGTAGTTACATATATTATCTGTGCATTAAATAGGATAAGGCTAAAAGGTTTTGTTTTATCTAAAATCCAGGTTAATGGTGTTTATATTACATCTTATCTCTAACCTGCGCCGTAACGCAAATATGCTATTCTAATGAAGTTAGACACGGACTCTAGGCATTACGCTTGGTGTCGCTCGCGACTCCGTCCGCTCGGAATTTAACAAAAACTTAAAAAGCAACCTATGTGTCCTTCCATACTATGTTCTACATCTTTGTCAAATTTCATCGTGATCCGTTGAGACGTTCCGAGATGGTTTTTGAAGGTATTTATTCGTAATTTAAACTAATATAGAAAGGTATGCGATCTAGTTATTTTAAACTGCATTATCGTTGCAACTAAACAGTACTATTACTAGACTATCTAAAAATAAACTAGATCAGACGTTAAACAGATGCCGAGTACAATGTAGGTCGCGTATAAACCTATTACGAACAAATAAATCAATACGCGCTAACGGAATGATAGAGATTATGAATGTGTAAAAGTCATCTCAAATATGACGGCGGCTCGAGGTCACCTGAGCGCTGCGCATTGTCCTCCCCTCATCCTTAAAGGGCTCTTTACAACTAAAATTGTGCTTTACACAGCGACTCGTACGATGTTGCGAGCCGCAAAGATATATGAAAAATACTGTACTAGTTGGGATAAGGTGAAGCGTAAATTTTAAGTCAGTAGTGATCTTTTAATCTCGCGTCAGAATATCGCGAGCTCTTCAATCTTATTCAAGTGTTTTAATATAATAATATCGTTCATCATATTATATTTGACCGATGTAAAATTGCTTTGTAATTCCTTATTATACCGTATCGCATCGAACAAGGCCGTACGTGACAATGTGCACGGCACTGTTAGCATTGTTATAATAATGTAACACTTGGTTTGGACCAAGTGTTATAACATGATAGTGAGTTTTCAGTCGTAAATCCAGTGCAAAAACATATTCTCTTTGTTTTTTTTAATGAGTGGGATGACAGTTGGTTTGTTCTTAAATAATTACTATACGAGTTGATAAAACAGCAGAATAAGATTGTATAGTAAAATATGAAACTGGCACGTTTAATCTAACAAGATATTAATGTTTTTTTTAATTCAAATTACTTGTGTTCTTTATAAGAAAAAAAAATATTTTCAGCCAACGTGAATTCGTGTTTTACAAAGATTATAAAACATAACACTGGAATATTCCATGAGGACATGACCATAACCTAGGTGCTATGATTATGAATCCTTGGCACTTATTTGCTAAATATTACGTGTTATGCGAGAAAACCTGCCGCACCTACTTCTTAATATAAAAGTTATAACTTTTCAAGTATATATATATAGTTTGAACCATAATATTTGAGTAAATAATTTTGACAATCCATAATTCCGTTGTGATTTTTGACATATCAAGGTCATTGGATATCTATAAAATATCGATGTTACTGCTAATTTTTATTTTTTATTTTTGTTAATTGCCAATAACAATAAGGATTTTAATGATAAAAGCCTTTAAAAATATAATTCTTTATAATTATTACCATTTACAATAGAAATCAGTTGTTTGATAAAGAAGCTATAAAAATACACAGATAATATACCATTAATAAATAATTCAACATAATTTATGGTTCGGAAATGATTACTTATATGACTCTGATAGCATTATGCAATAAAGACGTATCCAATTATTCATATGAATCAGCAAATGTTCATTTTAATTTCTGACCAACTGGCAGGATAAAGTTTTTCACGTTTATTTTTGTACATCTATTAGTGACGTCCAGCCTAAATGACTAAGCCGATTTTGGCAAATATTATCATTCGATTAGTATTCTCCGGAATGTCAAAGGCGTATTCGTACAACTAATACAACCGAGAAATTTGACTGCTGTGACAGTATATTGTTGTCTCTGTTTTGTGAAAGAGAGTGAAAGAGATGACGTGTATCAACATAATCCAGAGCAGTGGAGTCCTACAGTACGACTACTATTCCTAGTCACATGCCCTAATTCTAACACTTTATTCATGCTGTGCACTAAAATAGCAGTTAATTAGAGTAGCACAATAATTAATTTTCCTGTCGTTGACCATTAATATCTGTGTGTGCCAGTAGCATTGAGACGTAACGGGTTTATGGCTGCGATAACGACTTGCTACTGTTTAAACGGATCAAGGTATTAAGATTACGATTATACTCATTGTTTATGCTCAATAATGCATTAAGTTTGTAATGTTTAAGGAAAGTTAAACACAGAATGTCTTTTTGACATCTCTCTCAGTCAGCTCAATTGAATTCATATCTTACTTCATACAATTCATCCATACTTTCTTCGATCTTCACCTACTTTTGTGGCCATCCACATTCAATCTCATACAATCTCAAACAAAATGAAATAGAAGATAATAATCAAATGATTTTTTTTAACACATATATCTCAATGAAATTTTATTGGATTTACGCCAAATGTTCAATTTAAACATATATCTTTTTCATTAAGATTTACCTTTGAAAAGATTAGTAACACCATATGTTGAGATTCTTTAAATAACTCTCAGAGTTGATTGCCAAAGTAATTAGCAACACTAAGTTGTAGCTCATCTAGACATATAAAAAGATTTCCTTTATGGAATTCATAATTTTAAAGGCAAGAATGGATACCAAACAATGGCTACTAGAAGTCATAAAAAATGGCAATATACTGAAGAATAAAATATTTTATGTCACTGTGGTGAACAAAATTTAAATCAAGGTGAACAGCTAACAGTCGGAATATTTCTTTTTCTCAAAGGCTTTTTGAAAAAAACAAACAATAATATTATTATACACTTTTACAGATTGTAAAAGACCTTACCTTTGCAATCAGCTTTCCATCATCACCAATACGAAACTCTTCCAATCCAAAGACTAAAGGTGATGCATTACCTAAATGGAAAATCCTTGAGGATGTACCAATGGTCACTCTAAACTCTATGGTTTTTGCTAACAGGACATTTGTGATCATGAAAACAGATTTTTTCCCCTTGAGATCTGAAACAATACAATAATATCTACACTTAATATAGGCATGGAGATAAAATCCATATTACATTTTTTAAAGTAAAAAGTAATAAAACATAGTACATACTTCAAATGTAAGAAATAATAAATATTTAAATTTTTTTGTAAGTAATTTTTTTTTTATTTACATACCTTTGTTGTTATCAATGTCCAAATAAATATTGTTAATAAAGTTTTTGTCTTTTGGGATCACATTTTTAGAGAAGTTGACCATAATCACTCTTACTTTGTTTTTAAGAGATTCATCTTGAAGAGTTATCTGAAACAAACATCAAAATTTATGATTAAAAGGAATATTGTGCTTTATAATGTATATATAACATAATTAGTAGCCTATTTGTTCTTCCAAGCTATGTTCTACATCTATACTAAATGTCTGCAAGATCCATGCACCCTTTTTAAAGATACTTTTTATAAAACATCCATCCATTCATCTAAACATTCACATTTATAATATTAGTAAGAGATAGTAAGAAGTCAAGTTTTACCAAATGACCAAATTTTTTAAAACAAAACTATAGAAAGTAGTCATTGTATAAAAAACTAGCTGTCGCCCGCGTCTACGTCCACGCAGGATTAAAAAATAGATAGTAGCCTATTCCCAGGTCTACTGAATATGCATATAAAATTTCATAAAAATTGGTCAAGCCATTTCGAAGAGTATAGAAACAAAAATTGTGACACAAGAATTTTTTATATAAGATTAGTACTTATATAAAATTTATTTATGTAGCCATGTGCAAATACATGATTCTTCTATGAGTGTTCTAATTTGAGGAGACTTGTCCTTTGAGTTTGATTTAATCAAAATACTCTTTAGTTACCGGTAAATTTGACTAAAGTATTAATCATAAAATGTTTTGGAAGATTTTAACTTAAACCTCGTAGCTCCCCTAATACTTTAAGCTTATTGTACAATTCAGACTATTGTAAAGAATAAACCATAACCATAGTTATATATTATGCTTGAAAAATGTGGACAATGGATTTGTTGCCACTGAGCAATGTCAACAAGAATCATATTACCAATACAGGTTAGCAGTTCATGAAACATTATGAAATACAACTCTGTGGCTATTGTTATGTTTGAATTAATTCACTCATTAACATATTCAGGATCATTATTATAATTATTGCGCAATTTTAATAATTGTACAATTATGTATCAAAGATATATTAACTTTTGTATTGCTTAGAAAGTGGTAAACGTAATAAAAATATTTTTACATTTAAATTTCATTTATAATTTACAAGCTATAAAGATATAAACATGTGACTGAATATGATAGAAACAATTTAAACGATTTTGGATAAAGACGTAGAGATTTTATTTTACTACGCAACAAATAAGGATAACGTAATAAAGGAGGACGTTCACCTGATGACATATTATAATCCGAGTAGATATAGGTATGAAGTCGGCAAACGTAGTTAATAAAGCCGGTTCCAGATACGCAGATATGTTTGGGAAACTACTGCATAGCAGTATAAACACGCGCAATGATTACCATAACATTGTCGAAAGATGTATCTTTAAACAATAATCCCGTTTTTAATCAAGTGCTTTCAACACGGCATATGATTTTCAGTTAAAACGTATTCGGTCAAGTCAAGGTCGTTGCTCAGACACTACCAAATCTTACCTTTACGCTCTCGTGTGGAAATTTGAATTCGGAATCTTGAAAATCTCCCTCTTCGAGCCATTGAACGTATTCAGAGTTAGATTTTTCCTTGTTGATGTTCTTGATTAGCTCTCCTAGAGGTGTAAACATTTTGCCATTTTTTGCTTTTTCATTTTGCACAAACAATGATGTGACCTTATACAAGTCTGCTTCAGTAATATGGGGGATGCAAACCAACTGGCTGCTGCCGATTTCAGTCTCGATTTCATCCCTGATAAAGGGCCATGCGTCTTCAAGTTTCAACGATTTCAAGTTTTCCAGGCCCACATCTTTACGTATTTCATGGGAATAAAGAGACTTTACAACCACTTTTAATTTTTTCGGCATTTTAGTAGATCTATTACCGTTTTTATATTTCGAACGCTGTAAAATGTAAAACACGTACTTTCTGTACCGTTGTCAAATATCGACTGGTCGTTTTCTATTTGCTGATTCGCTGAAAATTGGAAAAGGATGAACATAATTAAGTTGCTTAAATAACAAGAGGAAAAGAGATAGAGTTTACAGTGTTACTAGTTTTGGTGAATTCGACTTCCCGACACGCAAACAATTAAAAAAAACGAAAACATTATTCCGGTTAAATAATTAAAAATCTTAATTGTAGCATTAGTAGTTGTATATTTAATGTACTAGCAAATGAAAATGGCGATGTTACATTTTCCTTTTAAAAAGAAATTGAATTTAACTTCTATTGGCAAACTCAATTATAGTTAATGTGGCTATAGTTTTGATATAATTTTGATTTTTTAGTTGTTTTAAAAAGACCAAGAAAATTACAAACACAATCAAATTTTATCATTATTCTGATTTGGAATATACACTTAGATCTAATGCGTTCCAAGATAATCATGATAACGTAATCGAACCGGTTGCCGAAATCATAGCAAATTCATTGTGTTGGCATAAATTTAGCAAACGTCATGCGCTGGCCATGCGTTTCTCACGCGGTTGCCGTCCAACTATTGCATGACTTTACACAGCAGTCGTTTTTTGTGGCCTGTTGAATTCGTCACCGCTAGCCGCTAGGTGCTTTCCAGACTCGCGTTTTGTTAAAACTATGACGCTTTGGTCTGAATATGACTTTACCGTCACGACTACAAGTCATGATCAGCGTCTGCTTAGCACGTGTTCCAAATTATACATTCAAGCTTTCTCACGGATATTCTTTACAGAAATAGAAAGTACCCGCTAAGACTTATTTTTTCGCCTTTCAATAGGATAAACATCTTACTCATGTATTTGACATGGTAAATGAGGATTTTTTATGTTATGAATCGTGCATACACTGTTTTAAATGTTATTAATATGCTTGAAAAAGTAAGATCCTATAATTCGGTCTATGTAATAGTAACAAAATAAATATGTTAGTATTGTCTTCGTGACTTAGTTATTATTCGTCACCCTTGTTGTCGCACCTTAAAAAGTGTTTTCCTAGAACACTTTGTGAAGATCTAATCAGTCATCCTAAAACACTCCTAAATACTTACGAGATAAGATAAAAGTAATTCCCCAGTTACACATTACTCATAAACCAGTAAATTCGAATGAGTAAATCAAAATTCTTGTACATTTCTATGTCAATTTATGCTTTATTAAAACGGATACGCGAGGACTCAGAAATTGTAACATATTACATCCATAATGTAATGTGATTGTATTTTGAATTTCGAGCCATAAACCATCCTCATTATCTACATCAGAACTTAGATGAGATAAATGACCAATAAAGCTAAGAGGTAACTTTTAAAATTGGATGAAAATATTAAAAAAAATTTATTACTATTTAGCCTGGGGTGGTACATTTGCCACTATTTATAGGGGAGCCATATAAAGATTTTAAGGTGACATAGTGCCGATTGCACTTAGCCTTGGTTTTTTGCAGTACCAAAGTTGAAGTGTGCGAAGGAGCTAAGAACCATTCTTGCTCCGATAAAAAATATAGTTTGTTTTATAAAGGTTTTTAGCTCTATTTTAATTAGTGATGAAAGACAAACAATACACATAGGTTGTTATAAATATATTTAAAGCTATAAGACATAAGAAATACATAATTGAGATTTTCATCGTTGAGAAGAGAGCATTAACACAATGTTTAAAATTATTCTAAGCAGTTTTAACTGGAATGTGAGTAATTATGGGAAGAGATAATTTTTTCTAAGAAATTGCTTTGCTGTGTAACATTAAAATATGGAACTAATTTAAAACTTATGTGTCATGTGTACATACATGGAAAAATTATGCTTAGACATATAAAATGTAACTACAATACAATTTGTGCTCTGGTAATTTCCCAAAATTAGGCTGCTTTCTTAAAGCAAAGCCACAAACATTTCCCTAAAAAAATCGTAATTAGAATGTTATGATGTTGGCAACACTCAGTTCATATAAGATTCTTAATGGACCCAAAATGTTACCATATGAAAAGTTCAGAAAAAAAACTTGATAAAAACATTGAAAGCAGTTATTTAAAGCATAGTGTCCACAGAATTACATGGTATAGTGGTATATATACCTATTAATAAAATTACATTTTTAAAGAACATCCACATCTCCTTTTCATTATTCTCATATTTAAGAGAGAGAGACAGAGAGACAGAGAGACTGTTATAGAAGAGTAATATACAGTTTACCATAAAGTATTTAATGGTTTTCATGATTGCCAACTTTAAAACACACTTCTGTGTTTACTATAATGTTGGTGCTTATATCAACAAACAAATTGTTTACTTTTTTTGAACATTAGATGTGGTAGATTGGAATACTGAAGAAGCAGTCATTAGATTTTCAATATATTGCCCGAGGACTTGGTTCTCGGAACGAAGCTTCAAATTTTCTTCCTTTACAGAATCCACTCTTTGCGACAAATCTGAAATGGGATTGAACATAATTAGTTAATATTTTTATAATTCAATATAACATATTCTGTCAATTAAAAAACTCTAGATAGCAATAAAAGTATACAGTTATGATCACATGAATGTTACAAATCTATATATTTGATGAATGGTACAAATATCAAGCAATCATGTTTAATCGCCAAACACTAAGTCATACAGACAGTCGGAACAATGGTCTAAGATAACCCATTGAAGTCATGATTATATAAATAGAACATGCATAAAGTAGAGAGAGAACATTACATAAAGTAGAGAACGAAGTATGGTTAATGTTTTAGACTTATGTGTCATAAAGCGCCTGAAAAAAGAGAGTAAAACAGATTTGATACTTGCCATCTAATGTGTTCTGTAATTCCAGCACTTGCGATATTAAACGAGCTTTTTCCTCTTGCTCATCTATACCTGAATCCGGCTCGAAGCTAGGCGGTCCATTTAAGCCAGGGCTTGACGAGCCACCTGTATATGAACTGGGTAAAGAGTCCATAGAACGGCCATGGTCCAATCGATTATTTTCGATGTCGTCTGTAATTATTACTTGTGGATCATCGTCAGCTAAGGGTATATTATCATCATTACATTTTTGAATAATAGACGACATTTTCTTCGCAACAAAGAACGAAACTAATCACATAAATTGAGGTCGTTTGGCTTATTTTATTAAATCAATAATTTGTTTTTGATTTTGACAATGACAGCTGACGTATGCTATTGATAGCTTGACAAAACATGGAATGAAGCAATTCGATCCATTTTACAAGAATTCTTGAAGTTGTATTTTAAATGTAATGTAAACACTACGTATTAAAGTGAATTTAAATTAGTTTAGATTATTTTACTCTTTTTTTCGGCTTTAATTTTTTTTTCCACGGCCAAAGTGCATCTTTATGTCAAATGTCAGTTGTCAGCGTCTTGTCATCTGTCAATAAATAAAGGGATAAGGATGCAAATGTTTCTTATATAAATATAAAGTAGAATCCTTACTTAGATAAGTGAATACAATAAAAAAAATTATTAATTGAACAATTGCAATAACAAGCATGGCATTAGCTATACGTAAATCTACATTCAGTGTTTTGGCAACCGCAAGATGCATCGTACCAAGAGGTTATATCAACAGCAAAGTCTTATATTCTTGGTTATTATTTATGTTTATAACATGTTTTAATTGTTTTTAGAATTTCGGAGTTTATCATCATTACCTGAAACGAATGAAGATGTTGCCCAGGATGTTGCAAAAAGGTCGACGGGGCGTAGAATTCGTTTCCAAAATCCAGCTTTGGAATATCGACATGTATACCCGGAATTCTTGCCTGATCCAAATCCTAAATGGAGAAATACATTACGTGAAAAAATGGAAAGAGCAGACATGTTAAAAAGGAGAAGTCAAATTGATATACCTGAATTTTATGTTGGTATGTAACAATAAATTTAGTGTAGCTGAAAATTGCGCATAAGTATGTGTAAGAATGTAGAAGAGATGTGAGAAGTGTTCCAGAAATGTGCCAAATTAAAATCTGTAATCTTTGCCAACTTACTTGTTTACAGGATCTATTCTAGCTGTTGTAATATCAGATCCTCATGCTCAAGGTAAAACCAACAGGTTTGTTGGTATATGCATTGAAAGAAAAGGTTGCGGTCTGAGAGCTGAGTTTACATTACGGAATGTTGTGGATCATCAAGGTGTTGAAGTAAGTTATATTCTTTATGTAAATTATTATAAATTCTAAAAGCTAGGAGACACTTTGGTTAACATTTGAGGTTATTGGATAGAGATGGAAAGGGAAACCAATCTTTGGGCAATGTGTACCAAACATTAAATATGAAACAACAGTCTGAAGCTGGCATTCTTTTTTATTGTCTATTAAATTACTAATATGAATAAAATGAGTCTAAAATATTATAAACAACTTATTAACTAAAATATATTATTAAAAGGAGTCCCTTTAGACAAGGTTCTGAAGATACTGGCAGTGTTCCCCCTATGAATAGCTATACTAATTCTTTGTCCGAGGTTGCTTCCAGCTCCTCGGTCCCCTGTGATATTGATTAACTTTTTTTGATATTTAAACATTATGTTTTTTTCACAAATACTTTTTTTATATTCACAGATTCGATATGACCTCTATGATCCTACAATACAATCAATACAAATAATTCGTCTTGAAAAACGTCTGGATGACAAACTGTTTTACTTGAGAGATGCATTGCCCGAGTACAGCACATTCTCATTTGATATGGATCCAGAAATACTTCCGGAAGGTACTCCAGTGCCTGTCAATCCTGTTCAGGTATAAGTTATATTATGTTAAAACTATACTAGCAGTTGCCCACAACTTCGGCCTCACAGAATTTAAACAAATATAGCCTGTCACCCAGGGATAGTCTAGCTTCTCAACAGTGAAAAATTTTTTTAATTTGTTTCAGTAATTTCGAAGCCAATGCAAACAAACAATTCTTTATTAATATAGATTATGTCATGTTCTAATAGAAAAACCTATATTTCTTAACTAAAATAGTCTTCAGTTTTACAAATAATCTAATAGAAAAAAGAACTATTTTGTAATTGAAATTTATTTACATTCACAAAAATTATTCAAATATTTTTTTATACATTTTAGGTAAAATTAAAGCCAAAACCATGGCTTGAGAGATGGGAGAGGCAAGAACTTAAAGGAGTTGCTAATATTGAAGAACATCTCAAAGAGAATGAAAGAGTCAGAAGAGAGCTAAGGAAGACACCTTGGGAAAAATATGATTTGATGAAACAATACAGGTAATTGATGACAACTTGACAATATAATTATCTATACTAGTTGTTGCACGCGACCCCATCTGTACGAAATTACAAAAAACATAATTAGTAGCCTATGTGTTCTTCCGGACATCTATGCCAAATTTTAGCTAGATTCATGCAGCGGAGATACCTTCAATCAAATGTCCATTCATCCAAACATTTGCATTTATAATATAAGTAATATGTATAGAAATAATAAATGTATTATAAAAAATAATATCATAATAATTTATATTTACAGAAAAACAATACCAGCAGAGGATCAAAACGAAATATGGGGTGAAGTTCATAATCAATTAAATCAACTTAAACTTTCACGTAAAAAGATGTTCAAGAAACGCCCAGTCACCACACCCAAGACTCAGCTTGCATAATAAAATGATTGTATTAAATATATAGCTTATAATAGATGTAATAATTATTTCTACTCCTGTCTATATGAAACTAGTGTTGCTAGCGACTTCCTCAGAGTGGATTGTGAAAAAAAGTATTCTATGATACGTCCACTTTTATCAGATCGGTTATCAAGTCTCGGAATAAACGCGGACTTGCAGACAAACAAACATTTAACAAATTGTTTTTCAGTTTTTTTTAATTTACATACAAATGCAGAATGTTTGCCTAATATGGGTGAGCTTGGATACAGAAACTTGTTTTTATCGACTAAAATTAAATTTTCGAGCATAACAAAAATTTTTATAGCCTTCAACTAGCTAAAATTGCTTGTAACGGAATCTTAAAAGTGCAGATTACAAAACAAGTGAAGTGTCAAGTAAAACAGCAAACAAGCTAAGTTCTGCCAATAGATGGCGGTATTGCTTAAAGAAGAATTGATTTCGCAGACAAAAATATTGCTTTGCTTTACTTAATGTTAACCAAAAGAAAAGTTACATGTTTTTGTAAATTAAACCAATAATTCTAATCAGGAATCGGAAACAATTCAAATTAGTATAATTTTCTTATAATTCGAGCCATGTAAAGGGAGTGATTATAATTATGCATTTTGTTTGTGATCGTGCGTGCATTAACTGCAGCCTGCAGTGTGTGAGTAAAGCTTAGTGCAGTGTAATGCACTTTTCTTTATGGGTCAGTAAATTATTGTGTTTTATAAATTAAGTTAGATAATTAATTGTGTGTAGTGTTTGGTGTTGAGAACATTATTGTGTTATTTAGTGAATTGTTACTATCGCCGGGTAAGTACTGCATTTATTAAAAATACAACCTAGACATGACTAATTTATAAGCATAAATATTTTAATATATTAACTTTATTCGATATTTTTTTGTGGGATTGTTAAAAAAACGAGGTATTTGTCTTTGTGTCATGAAACTGCACTTGCATTTTGCTAACCTTGATTTATCGATTCACGTCACTACAACTCATATTTATGAGTCAATACCTACATTGTTTATGATAACTTTTACATGCATTAAGTATACAAAATTAAATAAGTTTAATTGATTTTGATATCAAAACTTCAAATAATCTTCATTATATGTAAAAGTTTTGTCATTCAGTCTTTGCAATCATGAATTAAATTTTGACTTAATTAATCCTAAGTTAGTCAAAATGTTGCCTAACTTTAAACTTTCATGGTTTTTACTAAAATAATGTATGTATCATAATTCTTACCATACTCAAGCTGTTTGAGTTCCTGATATTATTCTATAAGTTATTTTTTTTTTTCAAACTATCACACATTGTTCAACTCATGACCATGTTGTATGCATCATGTTAAAAAACCCGTTACTTTTTATTATATTACTTAAGTTGTAATTAAGTTAGATCTAAGTAAATAAACATTACAATGCAAAGGGTAGCATATTTATCATGCAATTTGAATCCCATAAAAAATACAAATTAAGTTTCCTCCATGTCACTATATATCTTAAAAGTAACGGCTTAATTGAAACCATTAAATAATAAATTTACTTATAAAAGTGTTTGTATTTTAAATTATACATTCAAACAAAAGAATGATAAAATTAGCAACTTTTATTTGTTATTGTTTTGTTGCACAATACATTGGTAAAAATTATAAAAAATTGCGCATTACATTATATAAAAATGTAAACCAATGGTACTGGGTATTTTATTCAAATTCCAATTAGATTGATAAAGCAAATCAGCCTCATGAAATACATACCAAGGTGCAATACCTAGAGGAAATATACATAATATGTGATACAAGCACACGCTGTGTTACCTCTCTGTAGGGATGAAGGCAGGGAGATAATATTTTTCACTATTTTTAATTATCCATAATATTATAAAAAGTAATAAAAATGTTTCACAGCGATGATTCAAAGACCCAGGATTCATAGTGGATTATATTATGTGTAAGGTGTCAAACAAGCAACTAAACACCTGATATCACTAAAATAGTAAAGTGATTCCATTATCACTAAAATGGCCAGAGAACAAGAAAATATCTCGTCTGACAAATACGAAGAGATTTTTGAAGAAATTTAAAATAACTTTAAATAATCAGAATTATTAAATTATTCAAACTTTCGTGAGACATCATAATAAACTTATATAAAAACGGCTAAACACTCACATATATTTGTCTGTGCATGATGCACTGACTAGTTTCGAGCCCATCCGGAGCCTTTCATCAGGGTAGGTGTTTAGCCGTTTTTATATAAGTTTACACAGAACCATGGTATTTTTCAAATATATCATCTCTTGATAATAAGAAAAATGATTGAAGTGTTTTTAGGTACATCCTGTATCTATTATGTTTTGGTTATGTTGTAAAAGTTACAGACAACATTTTATGTAGGTTTAAAAATGACAGGAAGTGTATGTATGCATAGTTTATCAAACTTTCTTAGTTCCGTTACAAAGTGGATCCTGTAGGTCGACGTACGATAATCTACTTGCCGTTTCTCGACACTAGCTTGAAGTTAATGCAATTAAGTTAAT